ATTTAAGTGTTTACACAATTTGTTAAAACATAACATTTGTTTGCCAAATTTAAGTAAGCAAAGTTAGATTTTAACAAATTCTAAGCTTTTGCATTTTGCTGTCGGAGATATGGTTTTTAATTGAAATTGTGCAAAAGATATAAATTATAGATTTCCATCATATTGTTGGAGTTGCTCTAAAAGAGTCACATATACCTCAGGTTTTCTTACTTGCATAAACAAGATTGAGTTTTTTTTTTCCTATATCTAGAATTTGGATGGATCGATTCAAAATAAGCATTTTCAGAAGAAAAAAGAATATCATTTTTTTCTTTTTCCGAATGTAGAAATCTAATTCTAATTCTGTAAAAAATGGAAAATCAAAATGAAAAAAAAATCGTTCAAAAATTGGCAATTTTTCATATGAGAATTGAATTTTCAATTCTCTCATCACCTAACTTTAATGCATAATAGCAAGAGAGCTTGTGTCAATTGAATCAAGTTTAAATCCCTTTCAACGGCCGCCGCTAGTTCAAGTTCGTCATATATGGTTATCCTGCCTAGTGTGGTTTACATATCTCGTGTGGTTTGTTAGGTACCGCACGAGAATAGAGGTTTACCCAGTGTACATGTATGGTGGGCTGCAGATTCCTTTATTATCTTAAAGATAATAATAAATATTGGTATTATAAATGTAATTTTTGGAGAGAAAAAAAAATCTGAACTTTTGGTATTATTTTCAAAAAATAAAGGCGGATTGAAAATTGTAATCTCATATATATTCCAATTTTTGGAATCGAAATTTACGTTCCAATTCCGGTCCGTATTTGAATCGTGTAATCTATGTGCAAACATAGAAAGTTCGCGGGAAGAAAATGAGACAGTTTAGTTTCTTAAAAAAATTAACAAATGACGGTCACCATTTAAGGTAAGATCAAATTACGAAAAAAATCATCATGTTTGAATAATTATAACTACCCCTTAACTATGTATTTTCTTGTAAAAAAATCATCTCTCTAGTAGATAAATTTGACACAGTAAGGATGGTCGTGTAAGACAATACATCGCTGAAAAGTGACTTTAATTAACAATGTTTTGAAACCCGAACCGGACCGGCCAGTCCAACCGGTTTAACTAGGAACCGGTGGGTGGTCCGGTCTGGTTCAACCCAAAAACCCGCAAGGTGCAAAAAACCGGTTGAATAGCTAAAAACCGGTTGAATTACCGGTTCAACCGGAAAACCTCAAAACAGGCCAGAACCGGGTTTCTGAAAAATAAAGAGGAGGGGGCCTGATTTCTTGCACTGGTGGTCTGGATCTGGAGGTTAAAAGTAAATCTTGTATGCCAATGGATTAAAAGAAGAAAATATAAGAAGAGTAAGCAAGTTTTATATGAATGGGTAGCTGAATCTAAGTAGGGCTGGGCATTTGGGATCCGGATTCGGGATCCCGTCCCATCCCGAACGGTATTTTACTATTTGAGACTAAGATTTCGGGAATTCGGAATTACGGGATTTGGGATCGGGATTAAGAACAAATACTGGATCAGAATTGGGGAATTGGTTCAATCCCGATCAGGATATTTTAATCCTGAATTTAGGAAAAGGAAAAAAAACTAATAAAAACACTATATATATATATATATATATATATATATATATATATATATATATATATATATATGGCGAATGGCAAAAAGGCCCATCCCATGGGACTTAAATGCACATTGGTCCACAGAAACACAGTATCTGAATTAAAACCATCCCCATGTCTTTAGTATAAAATACCCTCCATAATATATTTTTTATCAATTCCATCCATTATGCTATAACTTTCTTAATATTACACATTGACCCCGGATTTAAACAAATATATCACATTAACCTCAAATTTTTTTTTTTTACAAAATAATTTTTTTTTCTGAAATTTTTTTTTTCCGGCCAGATTCCGGCGTTGACCGCAGGAGACCGCCGGTCTCCGACGTTGACTTTTTTTTTTTTCCTGAACTTTTTTTCCAGCCGGTCAACCACCGTTGACCGCCGGTCTACGGCGTTGACTTTTTTTCGATTTTGTTTTTCTTAGAAAAAAATATTTTAATTAATATTACTATCTTGGCTACTAAATTATGTCTCAGACAGTAATATTAATGTTTGGGACAATAATATTATGAATATTATTTTCCCGAACATTAATATTATTAATATTACTGTCTAAGACAGTTAAATTACTGTTGGAGACAGTAATTTAGCAGTCAATGTTGTAATATTCATTAAAATAAAAAAAATTAAGAAAAAAAGAATTCAAAAAAAAGTCATTTAACAGTTAATTACTGTCTCCGACAGTTAAATAACTGTTGGAGACAGCAATTTAGCAGCCATGACAGTAATATTAATTAAAAATATTTTTTTAAGAATAAAAAAGTCAATTAACAGTTAAATTACTGTCTACGACAGTTAAATAACTGTTGGAGACAGTAATTTTGCAACAAATACAGTAATATTAATTAAAATATTTAATAAAAAAAAAGTCAATTAACAGTTAAATTATGTCTCCGACATTTAAATAACTGCTGGAGACAGTAATTTAGCAGCCAAGACAGTAATATTAATTAAAATATTTTTGAAGAAAAAAAAAATCAATTAACAGTTAAATTACTGTCTCCGAAAGTTAAATAACTGCTGGAGACACTAATTTAGTAACCAAAACAGTAATATTAATTAAAATATTTTTTTTAAGAACAAACAAAATTATAAAAATAAAAAAAAAAGTCAACCATGGTTAACCTACCGGAAAAAAATTCAAAAAAAAAAGTTTTCAAACAAAAAAAAGTCAACGCCGGAGACCGGAGGTCAACGGCGGCGACTGGCGTCTCCGGTGGTGGCGGGTCAAAATTAAAATTAGGGTTAAAATTAGTTAATTGATCAAATTGGGCTAAATTAGGGTGTAAATCATGAAATTGGAGTTGAATTGGTTTTCAATGAATTAGGGGTTATTTATGTATATATAAATGGATCTTTATATACAAATATGTTTGTATGTGCTCAATTTTTTTTATACACAAAAAAATTGGATGTCCCTCTTTTATATATATATATATATATATATATATATATATATATATATATATATATATATATATATATATATATATATTGTCAAGGAGATGAGGAATATATATAATATATCGTTTCAACTTATTTTTAATTTTTTTTAAATTTTATTTGTTCCAAGTTGTGTGGTAAAAATAAATATTGCAAGAATAGTATGTATATAATATATCAAGTTGGATTTATGTATAAAATAATACTAATGGAAAAAAGAAATTCAATAGTTCTTAGTTTTTAGGTAAAATATGGGATTCCCGATCCCAATCTCGAATTCCTGAAATATTTAGAGATTCGATATACCGGGATTTAACGGTATGGGACGGGATTGAGATTTAAAATTTCTATCTCGAAACCCGAAATCTCGATCCCAAAAATCCCGAATTGCCGAAATCCCGTCCCGAACTCACCCCTAAATCTAAGGCTTGAGTAAGAACTTGGATGGTCGGAAATAAGAAGAAACTTCTTGTGGCGGCTTGGATGGTGAGTGGATGGAATTGAAAGGATGAGAAAGAGAGAAGTCGGGTTGACGGGGGAATTTGAACCGAAAGGACAAAAAATAAAAAAGATAAAATATTGGAGATAATGAAAAGAAAGGTAAATTACTATAATGAACAGTAAAACTAAATAATAAACAAAGTAATGTACAGTTACTTTTGTAAAATTTAAACATATGGCTGCGTATATATATATGAATATTTTGGTGTTTTGTATTTAAATTTTATGCATAAATATATATTATTTAAGCTTCTAGGTTGATTTTTATCAACGTATTGGATTTTTAATTGATATTTTATCATATAATTATATTAAAATTATATAAAAATAATAAATAGAAGAAAAAATACAAAAATCCGATTGAACCGCGGTCGAACCGGTCGAGCCGTGACCCAGTTGGCCGTCCAGTTCGGTGTCCAGTTCGGTTTTCAAAACATTGTTAACTAATCAAAAGGGGGGATTTTGTAATTTGACCTTACCTTAGGGTGATAGCCGTAATTTACCATAAAAAATAGGGCATATTTCACTTTACACCCCTGAATTATGAGTTGAGTAACATACACACCCCTCAATTACGAAACGTACAAATACGGCCTGTATTTTTTGGTCAAACTTACAAAATGTAAAGACATTAGTTGTGTAATATTTTCTTTAGCAATTACAATCTTACCCCCACTTTTATTCTATGGAAAATATATGTGAATTTTAGTACATAGAAATATAGGTAGCACGGTTAGGAACAAAAAAAAAAAAGGACAACAAGAAAATCAATAGGTGATGGCAGCATATTCAAATAGAATACAAATATGAGGGGTATTTGATACATTTTGTAATTGAGGGGTATATTTGCGATATTCAAGAGTGCAAAGTGAAGTTTCCCAATATAAACTATAGGGTAAATTACAATAACCCTCTGAGGTATAACAAAATTACGAAAACCCCCACCTTGTTTGGGTAATTACAACAAACCCCTCAACTATAAATTTTCTTACTCGTCCACCCTTGCGGTTTCAAATTTAATGGAATCTTCTTAATTATATGGAATAATATAACTTTAGTACCCGTTTTATCCCATTCGAACTCCACAGTTTGAAGCAAGATGATCATAAGATGTGTTTTTTGGCTTGTATATATCAGATTGTGGTGCATCAGAAACTGTATTTTTACACAAAACGAGTACAAACTAGAGCATATTTCACGGAATCCTGATGATTATGTTGAATTTGACACCATAAGGGTGGAGGCATAAGAAAATTTATAGTTGATGGGGATAGATTTAATTATCCAAACAAGAGTGAATTTTTCGTAATTTGACCGTACCTCATGGGTGATTGTAATTTGCCCTAAACTATATATGTAAAATATCTTATATATGGTCCCTCTCGCCCCGCGTCTTTCCTTGTCTTTGTCCACTTGATGATTAATGCGTTTGCAAGTAGTTGTAAAATTGTCAGACGTTTCACACCATTCATACTACTTCATATCTTCACTTCTCATCTTTCAGTTTTGTAAATTCAATCTGACTTCTTATCTTCATTCTCGGCTGATCAGTTTGCATTTTATAAAGGTGATTCATTTCAATCCTATTTTAATTTTTATTTTTATTTTTTTTTGTATTTTATTGTTACTGTAAATGGGTTTTTAAATCTGTTGTAATATTATGTTCCAATCTATTAAATAAAATTATTTTGATCCCCATTATTTTTCTAAGAAAAAATTAAATTTTTGGAAGAACAGTGCCAAAAAATTGCTTTATAAGGAAGGGGGTTTATATGCTAATATTAATTGTATAGAATTTTTTTAGCAATTCTATATAACACTAATAGTGGATAAATAATGGATAAATTATTCTTCTATTTTTTAATTCTTTTTTTTTATGATTCTTATCTTTAGTTATCTGACTTTGATTATGTGGTTCATTATGTAGATCTGCAGGTGTACAACATATATAGAATATTCTTTTGAGCATCGAAGGTAATAATAATTAATCAGTTAATTTACCTTTATTTTGAGTTGTTAATAATATGTTGTATTGTGATCAAAGGGAGTGGTTTGTTCTATATATGTTTACATGTGGGGAATTGTGTAGTATTGTACTGAATTCCAAATCTAGTTAATTATTTTAGATGGAAAAAGAAACAGTTACTTGAATAACTGAATACAGGAAAATAAGCAAAGATTATTATTTGTTTAATGATGAATTCATGAAAATGGGTAGTCAATTATATGGATTGATGATTTGATTCCTCCACCCATTAAGAATTACAGAAAAATGAGTCTAGTTGACCACATTCAGCCTACTTAGTTGACCGACAACATTAATTCACTCATTTACATTTTAACAAATTTGTCGAAGAACCGTTTACTCGCTAATATCGGTTGGCCTGCTTAGTTGATCTTTTTCTTTTTCTTTTTCTTTTTTTGTCAAAAAGAGAAAAACAATACACACATTTCGTTAATCTGAAATGTTGTAGGAAAAAAACAATACACAAAACTGTTATAAAACAAGGGAAAAGACAAGAAGAGAACAATTGTGTGTATGTATTGTATTCTTATTCAAGTGTGTGTCTACTCCATACAATGGTGTCCCTTTTATAATACAAGAAGACCATTCAAAAGATCATGAGTTACAAGGGAATGAATGGCCTTAACATCCACCATTATCACCTCTAATTACACACTAATGATTTTGTAACTCCTATAGACATCCACTATAGGTTACATAATACTCCCCATTGGATGTCTATGACTATTGAGAGTGTGATACACTGCCTCGTTAAAACCTTGCCAAGAAAAACCCATTGGGATAAAAACTTGGTCGAAGGAAAAAGAGTACAGTGTTGGGTTATTAATCACACTCCCCCTGATGCTGGCAATAGATCGTTAAGCCGACACATTTCAATGTTGTAGATCATGCTCCCCCTGATTTTAGCATGAGACATTGGAGTAAGATCGTCGACATTGAGATTTGCAAACTCGTTATTTGATTGCCATCAATAACTGTCATGTCATCTTTCTTCTTTAACTCTCGAGTACTTTACAAATCTTCAATAATTCGTCAGCCACCTCCTTTGATATAGCCAAAATCTCGTTGGTGCAATCAGACAATATTATCCTCATATATTAGGACCAAGGTCTTCATTATCTCCTCGAGAAAGGATGGGAATATATTTCTTATGTCCAAAGATCGGACAATCATATGTTTACTCAATGAATGAGCTTTATCATATATATAAACAAATAATGGATAAATATTTCATTCGACAAATGCTCGATCTGCAGATCAATGCAAAATATATATCCTCCCAAGATATTTTCATTTCGAATTTTTTCATCAAATAATTGATGATCTGTGTGAGCTCTTCATGAGTCTCAACAAGATTTAATTCGCCCCAAATGATAATAGGAATCAATTTATTTGATTATTCCTTTTGTAAACAAGGTATTCACTAAGGTGACAATACCGTATTCTTCAATATGTAAATGGATCATTCGTAGGGTCTAACTCATGAGACCTCTTATTATATGCTTCAAGCATTTTCAATTCTTTGAAATAACAAGTTATGATCCATATAAATATGCGGTAATTGCATCCATATGGTGCATGTCAAATAATTTTAAATACCATCATAAAGTGATTGCATCACAAAAATATATTTCCAAAAGGCATTCAGATTTACCGCAATGATTTTACCCACCTTTGTACTAAAGGCTCCACAACTTATGTGTGATGACTTCAAGTCAATGTACAATTTATTTCATCAATAATTTCAAATAATCATGGTCAATTGCATTTGTGAATGCATATACTAATGACCAATTAGATGTCGACATCTATCAAAATGTATGAGCTTCAAGCTCTTCACATTATAAAAATAATTGTACATATAGTTATTCGATAACATCTTTAGTACTCCCCATATTTCTTCATAATTAATCAATGAAGAGCTCACTATTTCACTTTCCGGTACCGGATTCTCCTTAGAGAATTATATTCATATAAATGGGAATTGTAGCCTTTGTGGGTACGATCTCTTCTTGAGATCCATATCTTTTCATGTACCATGCATTTTTCTCTTATAGAGAATTTTCTATATTGCATCAATAAAGTTTTCATAATACTTTATGTGCTTGAGCTCATTATTTATTTCAATAAAATGTCCTACATGGACAAAACGCGCGCTTTTGAGTTTCACAATGTGGAGGGGGTATTGAGGACTACTTGTCCATTTTATTTTCAAACTAAACAAATTCAATTTGGTACATGAATATTCATTCGAAAAGAATTTTCAACTCTTTAAGATATTATATCGGTACAACAACAAAATTGAGAACTAATAGTCTCAAATGCCTCTCTATTCACTTAGAGAGCAAGCTAACCATGATTTATTTGCCAATCAACTATTTATTGGCACATAATGGTTCGATTTATAATGGTCTTGGTAGCTACCATATAATCATCAATGATTTTCTCATCCAAATATGTATTTCATTTATGCCACCATAACTGGCAGAAATTCTCAAATCATAGTAATGGATATTGGTGTTGAGGCGTCCCCCAACATCGTCTTTAAGACGAATCCTTTCATGAATGAGATAAGTAATAGGATGAGAGTATGATGCTACTAGCGCTAGTAGACTTTAATTGAACGGTATATACACCACTTATAAGGGTGTTAATCATTCGAACCAACATATATATCTCCCCCTCTTATATGTATAAATTAAGATTGGTTAGTTGTGTACCATAATCATTTAGGGATTCACGATGCAATCACAATGTGAAATTTGTCCTTTGAGGACATTCGTTTATAAGCCTTTCATGGCAACATCTAATGTGCAATGTGTCCTTTTTGGACATTTTCTCTTGCACTCATTTGCAACATAAGTAATAATTTCAAGTTGTCATTTTGTCGATAAATAATGCATCTAGCATTTTACACATTAAAATTGTTGCAAATGATTTCTTTTTTTCTTTTGTGATTAAATATTTCCATGCACAAATGTGAATGAGACAAAGATCATTTCATAAAATTCACGCCGTTATACAAGAACCGTCTTCTTATCTCCCTCTTAACGGCGGGAAAATTGTCTCATTAAAATGGCAAATTGACAATGTATGCCATAGAAATATCTCCCATTAGGGGTGCAAAATATTGCATAGCATAAATAATAAACAAACTACGTGATATCATGTTATGTGGCTGAATATAACTTCATTTGAGAATCTATCAGATTCTGAACATAAATGGTCAAATTTCAAAACTATGAAAATTCAGGGACCAAACGGTAAATTTTGAAAGTTTAGGGACCAAAATGTAAATTTTTAAAACTTCGTGAACAAGGCTGATATTTTTGTTAAAAATCAGTGAAAACTGAAAATGTTGAAATAGATTCACAATTGCGGATGACGAATGGAACGAGCTGCATATTCTGAAAAACATTTGGACTAAATTGTAAAATTTTCAAATTCGGAGGACTAAAATGAATTTTTTGAACATTTTGAAGTAATAAACCGTAAGTTTCGAAAAATCAGAATATGCAGAGGGTTTGAAATTTTAACGCGAAAACCAGATCTCCTTTTTTTTCGTTTGGTTTGAAATTTCTTCTCATCTCATCTAGACCAATTAAAAAAAATCATGTACATACCTCCATAGATATGGATTTGGAGTGAAATTTGCATCACTAAACTTTTGTGATTCAAAAACTTTAATTTAATTGGTCAATAGCGTGACTCCAAAATCAACACATGCTTTTCTGTTGGTGCTTCATAAAACTTATCAACATGCTTTATCGTAAAATAGATTTATCACCAATCATTTTTCATATTTTTCACATCTCTACACCTCTAATGGTTAGATAAATTGTAATAAGCACCATGATATCTATATAAGATATCTCTTGAAATATTTTGTTGTTTTACCTGTCAAAGAATAACAACAATGAAACGAGCTTTGCATTATTTCAATTTTAGCTCCACAACTCGTATTATAGTATGATATGCTATGAAATTTTCTTGATTTTTGCTAGTACGAGTGCAACTTTAATTTTTATGTTGCAACTTCATGATCATAATATAGATCCAAATATTGCTACTACGGTAGCATTTCAAGTCACAAACTTAGAGAATATTTTCTCTTACAATTCTCCATTATATGTATCTTCAAGACACATATATCGAAATATTTTACTTGTCGTTTTCAAAACAACAAAGTCAAGATTTAAAGAGAGCAAATTATAGAGATGATCAAATATCTATCTCTCTTTTTCTTCATAAGTAACTAGAAGTAATGTTATTTTTACTTGTGTGTTCAAGACACATAACCCCCAATTAAGTACTCGTTTCTTGAAAATGAAACAATAATATTTTGCTCGGTGTCTTCTAGACACATTTTCATTATGAAATATTTGGTTATTTCTTGATGACACATAAATGGATCTTCAACTTCAATGATCCAAAGCTCATAGTTATGTTTCTTCTTGAGCTATCAAAAATAATTTTGAATTGTGTGATATGTCTCATTTCATTGAATTCAAAAGGAATAGTCCTTTCGAGTACATTTATATATAATCTCAAAATTTGAGTTTTATTGCTTAAAGTTATATACTCGATTTGAGCATGAAGGCCTCATATAAATCATTATAGTACTTGATATGAAATAATAGTACTATAATTAACTCGAATTTTCATATATATCATTGAACCACAAACTGGATAGTTCTTTCGAGTACAATATACTATTCAAATATCAAGGATTGAGTTTTATACCTTGAATTTATGTACTCGATTTAGGCATCAAGCCTTTATAATTGGTACTTAATCGTAAAATAATAGTACCTTGAGTGGAAAATACTCATTAACTCAAATATTCAATTTTGAGTATCATACCTAGACCTTGAGTCTAATATATTCAATCAAGACTTATGGTCTTCAAATTTAATCTAGGCCCCAAGCCTTTATATTTAATATTCCTCCACATAAGCTTTCAAGCTTTCATATTTAAACTAGGCTTTAATTTGAGCCTAAAATTTATGAACTTCGAGTTCTTTTTTTTCGATTGATGGACCTTTTCAAGTTGCATAAACTAGAGAACAAGTGGGTTTTTTTTCTTCTTAATATACCACTCAAATCTTCGAGTCACTTGATTGCACGTGCTCGATTTGGGCTTCAAGCCTCAATATATAATAAAAATCGTAATAGTACTTTGATCATGAAAGAATAGTACTATAAATGGGGAATACCCTCTAACTCAAATGTTCAAGAGTCTTATCATTTAGACGTAAAGTCTAATAAACTCAATCGAGATTTCTGATCTCGTATGTAATCTAGGCTTTATGCCTTTAATCATCCCTTTTTGTTTTTAGAACATCATGTTCATCTCAAAAATTCGCACAAGGGACAGCTTTGGCAGAGCTGGGTATTTCAAGCATATCTCCCTCGATCGGGATCCGATTTTGATGATTCAAAATGTTCCGAACAACCAACAAAAACTTCTACAAGTTTCGTATTTTGAACTTTTCTGAAATTCGAACATTATCATGTCCAAAACTAGGCTCAAAGTAAGAACTCGTGAATTGCACGAAAAATCACCTACAACAAAATTAAGATGGTTAATATTTTATCAATTCAAAAAAGAATAAAAAATTTAAAATCAACTCCCTTTCATCTTCTATGGCTATGGAGTCATCTTCCTTGGACCATCTTTACTCGAAAATTTAAGTAGAACAATCGTGCTGATAACGTGTTATAAAACAAGGGAAAATACAAGAAGAGAACAAGTGTGTGTATGTATTGTATTCTTATTCAAGTGTGTGTCTACTCCATACAATGGTGTCCCTTTTATAGTACAAGAAGACCATTCAAAAGGTCATGAGTTACAAGGGAATGAATGGCCTTAACATCCACCATTATCACCTCTAATTACACACTAATGATTTTGTAACTCCTATAGACATCCACTATAGGTTACATAATAAAAACAATTTTTTTTAATAAATGTTGTACGAATAATTAATAAACAATATTAAATATTTAAAAAATGTTTATAATTAAAAATTATTTAAAAGATGTTAAACTTAATTTTGAGTAAATTACATGGTTCTCCCTTAAGGTTAAGTCTAATAACACATAGACCCTAGTAGTTTTAACACATGATGAAGACCCCCTCAACGTTTAATTTTAACTAAAAATTAAATTTCAATTAACTAAAACATAAGAAAATTAAAAACTTAGACAATAATTTTAAGCTTTTGTATGTAAAATAATAATTATCAGTATTGGCACTCGTGAAATAATATTTTTGTTTTCACTAAAATATTTTTTAAATAAAAAATAATATATTTTTTTAATAAAATTAGAAAATAATACGCTTTTGTATGTAACATAATAATTATTAATAATGGAAAATTAATTACTTTTATCATTTTATATACAAAAAGAGTAAAAATATCTCAATATTAATATCTTCTTTGAAAAGAAATACTTTCGTAAAAATAAAAACATTAAGGAAGGTCTTTGTAATATTTTCAAAATATAATGTTCATGAATTTCCGAAGATGATGTAAATATAGTGTATGTAACCCTTACAATTGTAGACATGAAAGAGGAAATTCCTTCTTTTGTAATTTATTTTCTTTTTTTTAGACATGAAAGAGGAAACTTCTGCTGCTTGCTTATAAATAAATTTCATCACTATTGATCATGCATACTTATAAATAACTTGTTTATTTTTTATTTTTTTTAATTTTATTTAATTGAACTCCACAGATGGGCATTTTTGAAACGCTGGTGTGCTCAATTTTCTCCAAGATTGGGGATAAGCTGATTGATCATGGAGACCGCATTGTGAGTGGAGGACTCAACATCAAATCCGTTTCAGATTCTCTTAAAAGAAGCTTAGATTCCTTAACTGCCAAAGCGTCGGATGTTGACGAACAAATCAAGAACTCGGAGCTCTCGGGTAAGAAGAAAAGAAAACGAGAAGTTGAGGACTGGTTGAAACAGGTGCAAGTTATTCAAACCGAATTATCTGCACTTGAAAACGAAGCAGATTCTGAAGGGTTTGTTAGTAAGTTTCTGGGGAGCGATCGAGCACCAAAACTGCAAGAAAGAGTAGACAAACTTGTTGAGCAAAGTCGTCATTTCGGTGAACTTGTTCTTGATGCTTGTGATATCCGAGGGGAGGCGTTGTTGACAACTAAGCTGGTCGGTAAAGCATTTGAGGAGAATGTTGAAAGAATTTGGAAACTTTTGGTGACTGATAAAGTGCCGATCATTGGGATTTACGGCATGGGTGGTGCGGGCAAGACTACTCTGACGAAGCACATCCACAACCGACTACTAGAAGAATTGACTCAAGAATGCGTTTTTTGGATCACAGTCTCCCAAGAGTTCAGCATAACGATGTTACAAGATGGAATAGCCCGTGCTATAAAGTTGGACCTTTCGGACGAGCGCGATGAAGACAAACGAGCAGCGAGATTGCACAAAGCTTTACTATTGCTTGGAAAGAAGTTTGTCCTCATATTGGATGATTTGTGGGAGAATGATTTGTGGGACGATATCATTTTGGAAAAGCTGGGAGATCCGCTTCGTGTTGAGGGTTGCCAATTGATTATAACAAGTCGCTCATCAGACGTGTGTCGTCAGATGAATTGCCAAGAATTAATTCAAGTGGAACCATTAGATATGGATGGAGCATGGAACTTATTCTGTGAAATACATGGACGACAAAGACAAACGACACTAAATCGACAAGTAGAAGAAATTGCAAAGTCTATGGTGAAAATGTGTGACGGTTTGCCCTTAGGGATCATCACCGTAGCTGGAAGCATGAGGGGTGTGACTGAAGTTCATGCATGGAGAGATGCAATGGAGGAACTACAAGAATCTGCTACGGGGAACGACCGTATGGATGTTAAAGTTTTTAAAGTTCTCAAGTATAGTTTTGATCAATTGGATTCTGTATTACAACATTGTTTTCTGTATTGCGCCTTGTATCCTGAAGACTGGGACATATCACGAGAGGAATTGGTTCGAAGATTCATTACAGAAGAGTTGGTCGAGAAAAGAAAGAGGATGAAAGCACAAATCGACAAGGGCCACACCATACTTGATAAATTAGTGAGTGTTTGTTTACTAGAAAGGACTCGTGATGATGATGACCGTGATTGTGTGAAGATGCATGATCTAGTAAGAAGCATGGCCCTGAAGATCACTGAAGGTAAAACTATGGTAAAAGCTGGGGGATATCGTTTGAAAGAAATTCCGAACGAGGAAGTGTGGACAAAGGATCTTGAGAAGGTGTCCTTGGTGTTTAATGACATAGAGCGAATTCCAGATTGCGTGTATCCTAATTGTCCTAAGTTGTCAACATTACTATTGTGTTGGAACTTAGACTTGCATTACATAGCAGATTCATTTTTTTCAAAAATGCATGGCCTACGCACTCTTGATTTGTCTGGCACTGAGATCAAGGAGTTGCCAAATTCTGTATCTGACTTAGAGAGCCTCAAGGCCTTGATCCTCAGAGATTGCAGTAGTCTTGTATGTATTTCCAACTTGGAAAAGCTGAAGGAACTAAGGGAGCTCGACCTCTCGTTTACACCAATCATCAGGGAAGTGCCTCAAGGACTCGGAAAACTAGTCAATCTCGAATTCTTGTCACTGAGAGATTTCTATGGGTCTATCTCGATTTTCCCCACGGATGTTCTAGTCCATCTCAGAAAGCTCAAGTGTCTCTATCTTCCGTATTATGTAGAGGCACCAATTGGAGAAATCGAGATGTTGAAAGAGATGGAGGAGTTTGAGGGGCGATTCAAAGATGTTCCTGATTTTGATCGATTTATTCAGTCTCAAAAGAGTAAGGGGTACGCAGTTTCCTATCGTATACAAGTGGGGGATCTTCTACATTATGAATTTTTTGATAACGATATGAACTTCAGTAGTGTGGAGTTTAGCTCGACAGACTTTAAGACGACTAGAGAGGAGAGAGAAGTGGTTACATTACTGGCAAGTGACACCCAACAACTAACATTCGACGAGTGTGAGGGCTTAAGCAAGTGCCTTTCGGATGACTTCAACATTCCCGGTTATCTTCACATCTTTAAAATCGAACTTTGCCACGGAATAGAAAGCATTCTGAAAGACGAGCAATTGATCATGTTTTCTTCTCTTAGAAGGCTTTGGATTTTATACTGTAACAAGATGAAGAAGCTGGGGCTGCGTGGGTCGGGTTTCCCATACCTTGAAGAACTATGGATTATAGGTTGTCCAGATATAGAAGTGATAATACAAGCAGTGGCGTCAGAAAATGTCGATCTCCCCAAGTTGAAAAGCTTAGAGATACGTGACCTGCCGAAACTGAAGAACATATGTGAGGCAAAAATGATGTGCGGTTCCATTGAGAAAATTGAGTTATGGGGATGTCCATTATTGAAGAAATTGCCGTTGCATTTTCCTGGAGAACTTGTGGATGGACAAATGAATTATTCTCCTCCGCCAGCTCTTGAAGAAATCGTGATAATGGAAAACGAGAGAGAATGGTGGGAATCATTGGAGTGGGACCATCCTTCACACGGAAATCTCCTACAGCCATTCCTTACATTTGAGGAGCCTTCCCCTTTCTCTAGTCCCGAAACTTACTCGGGTTAAAGTATCTTTACCGACATGTTTTCACAGTGCACGTTATTTTGGTTTACTTTTTCTTTTCTTTTTTTTTTTTTTCTTTTTATGTAATTGTTAAGTGATTTGGAATTGCAGATTTTGAACTTTTTAATTCAGGTTAAAATTGTTTTGATATGTAACAATTATCTATACCCATTTTGTATGAAACCCATTTTGTTTTTTGTTTTTTGTTTTTCATTTGTTAGAGTTTTAGGATACCTTTTGTACAGATTGAGTATTACAAAGTGTGGAATAATTACACTTTTCGTCCCTATACTTTACCACTTATTCGTTTTTCGTCCTTAGACAAGTTGGAGTGACATTATCCATCCCTAAACTTGTCATTTTTCTGCTATTTCCGTCCCTCCGTCAATTTGGCTGGTTAGTTTGGACGGAAAATAGCATATGCTTCGCACATGATACGTAAGAGCCAACCCCTCTTCAATTTCAGATTGCATCTTCTTTAGAACATAATCCTTCTTTTCCAAATTGCTAATTTCTTTAATATCACACCTCTTTGGACTCATAAATAGCCTCGATAATCCCCAAAAGACAATTGTTTTCCATCATACAAAAATCCGATGCAATGCAATTTCTACTTTGAATTAATATATTTGGATTTGTTGAATGAAATTTATAATATGTTAAGCTACTCAAAAAGAATTCTTTGTTTTGTTACCTATTGAGGATTTGCACGATTTGCAATTCTATAAACTTTAATTTAGATTGCCTACCCTTATTAGTCATTATCTCCCCAACTGACTTTAACTACTCATTTAAACAAAAAAAAATTGTCATGGCCGGTGTAGGGGATATTAAAAAAAGTGATGTAGTTGCATGTCTTGTATTTTCATTAATTTACGCGCACATATTGCAAAAAGTTATTTCACTGTATGTTTTGAGTTCAAATATGAAAATTTCATGCAAATTTGAAATAAATATTATTCAGCCGACAATTGTATCGTTTACAGTCAATTCTGGTCAGAATTTCCTCTTAATTAGGTGGGAATGGGTCTCTTGCATGGTGGTGGTTCGTTTCCAAAGTTGAAATGGGTATTTTGGGAATGTACAATGGTGGCTCGTTTTCTCTAGCAAAGTTTACAGATGAGTTTTGTTGGGTGCCAATGCATGAGTAATTTGAGTTAATATGAGTTGGTTTCACTAAGCATATCAACAACAGCATACACATGAGTGGCCACGTGGATTAATCATCCATGTCAGCACATATATTGAGATTTTCAGGTCAACGTAATTATATTACTGTCGTTGACAGTAAAATAACGTGAACACAATAATATTACTGTCAACAACATCAATATTATTATTTTTTGGGTTTTTTGTTTTGTTTGAGTTATTCACGGAGTAACGTAATAATATTACTGTTTATTATTGTAATATTACTGTAAACACAATAATATTACTGTGGTTGACGGTAATATTACTGTTATTATAGTAACATTGCTGTCAACCACATCAATATTATTATTTTGTTTGGAATTTTTTGTTTGTATGAGTTATTCACGGAGTAACGTAATAATATTACTATCATCTACAGTGATATTAATTCTTTTGGCTTTTTATTATGTTTTCATTTGTTGAACGATCAACATAGTAATATTACTCTATTACACAATAATAATGAGTTTTGTTGTGTTAATATTACTGTGTTAGAGATTAATATAGCAATATTACTGCGTTAAACTATAGTTTAGTTAATTTTACTGTGTTTAACAGTAATATAGTTAATATCACTGTCAATCACAGCAATATTGTTGTTTAAACGAAAAAAATAAAGTTACAGAACCGCCAGTCAATGCCGGCGACCGGCGAAAAAATCCGGAGGAAAAAAATATGTGAAAAGCCAAAGCCGGAATCCGGCAGGAAAAAAAAATTTGAAAAAAAAAGTTTTGCGTCACAATTGAATAATTTGTGAAATTTGGGGTCAAATTGAGGTTAAATTAAGTTAAGGATGACATTGGAGCATATTAAAGTATGAGCGGTTATTTTAGTCCTTTACGAAAATCTGGACCATGTGTGGACTTATTATTGGTAAATGAGTTTTTTGTTTGGATCTCTTTATAGATAAGTACCCATTCATGGACTTATTTGTAATCACCGATTTATATATTGGGGAAGAGTCTTTAGTTGTTGACTTATTTATTTTATTTTATTTTTTATAAGAATGTTGTTGACTTAAAAAACTTTTTATAAGTCCCAATAATAATAATAATATATCCTAAAAAATTACTATATAGGGGATGTATACTAAAAAAATGCATTATATAGAAGGGTATTTGTACATAAGTGCTCAATCAAACATCTTTATTATTTTAGATTTAGGGACTATATCTCTTTCACCAATACGTCCACCCATTTAATATTTATTATAAATAAATGAAACATTCATGTATATGCTCAATTCTTAATTGTAACCCCAATTTAATCCATTTTGTCCACAAAAATCCAATTTTGACCACAAAAATTCAATTTTGACTTTTTCTTTTCAAAAAAAAAAATTTGCCGCCGGATTCCGGCGGTCAACGCCGGTCTCCGGCGTTGACTTTTCAAAATTGGAGCATACTTTAATATGCTTCAATTTCATAAATTATTCAATTTTGACCCAAAATCATTTTTTTCAACAAGTTTTTTTCAAAAAAAAAAAATTTGCCGCCGAATTCCGGCGTTGACTTTTCATTTTTTTTCTCTTTTTTCTTTTCTTTTCTTCCGGATTTTTTCGCCGGTTTCCGGCGTTGACTTTTATCAGTGTTTTGTTTTTTTTTTTTACGTCCGCCGCTAAACGTTTACCGTAATTGTGTTATCACTGTCAGTAAATTAACGTAATTATACTGTTAATGATAATTAATTAACATAATTCTACTGCCGTTGACAATACATTTATGTAATTGTTCTGCCGTTGACAGTAAATTAACGTAATATTATTATTATTATTATTATTATTATTATTATTATTATTATTATTATTATTATTATTATTATTATTATTTTTGTTTGATTTGTTGACAAGTCAACGTAACTATATTACTGTCGTTGACAGTAAAATAACTGTAAACACAATAACATTATTGTCAACAACATCAATATAATTATTTTTTTTGGGTTATTTGTTTTGTTTGAGTTATTCACGGAGTAGCTTAATAATATTACTGTCTATTATTGTAATATTACTGTGGTTGACGGTAATATTACTGTTGTTATTGTATTATTGTTGTCAACCACATCAATATTATTATTTTATTTGGATTTTTTTGTTTGTTTGAGTTATTCACGGAATAACGTAATAATATTACTGTCTATTATTGTAATATTACTGTGATTGCCGGTAATATTATTGTTGTTATAGTAATATTACTGTCACTCACATTAATATTAATTCTTTTGGCTTTTTATTATGTTTACATTAGTTGAACGGTCAACATAATAATATTACTGTATTACACAATAATAATGAATTTTGTTGTGTTAATACTGTACTAGAGATTAATATAGCAATAGACTGTAGTTTAGTTAATTTTACTGTGTCTAACAGTAATATTGTTAATATTACGGTCAATCACAGCAATATTGTTGTTTAAACGAAAAAAAAAAGTTACAGAAACAAAGAAAAAAAAATCGAAAAAGTTCTCCGGCGGTCAGATCAACGCCGGAAACCGACGAAAAAATCCGGAAGAAACAAAAAAAATTGAAAAGTCAACGCCGGAATCCGGCGAGAAAAAAAAATTGAAAATATCTTTTTTTTTTTTGAAAAAAAAAAAAGTTTTGGGTCAAAATTGAATAATTTGTGAAATTTGGGGTCAAATTGAGGTTAAATTAAGTTAAGGATGAAATTGGAGCATATTAAAGTATGAGGGGTGATTTAAGTTCTTTACAAAAATCTGGACCATATGTGGACTTACTGGTAAATGAGTTTTTTTTCTGGATCTCTTTATAAATAAGTATCCATTGATGGGCTTATTTGTAATTACTCCTATGTAGAATAGTGTTTGCTAATATTAGTAACATATATAATTATTTCCTTTCGTAATTCGATATAGTACAATTACATACAGGTACCCAATTCAATATACTCAATATGAATATTACTTTATATTCTATTTTTATTTTAAGAGATGCATTAATTATCGATCTAAGAACCCATCAACTTTGTAAATTGTAAGGTTTAATAGACAATGACGAATTGGCCACCAATTAATTCAAACTATGAATTCAATTTTATTTAAATTTAAGCTATTTAAAGAACATGTCACCATCCAAGAAAACAAAAGGCTATAATGCCGGTGGGAGAAGAACGCGTTTTTTTTCGATTGCTTATTAGATATCATAATTTTAGTTGGCTTATGTTAATTTACCGTTTTTAGAATGAATATTTTATTTTCGAGCTGCATTGGTTATCAAGGACGATGATCTAAGCACTGGCCAGATCGGGTCGGGGTAGGGGCTGTGGCCACCAACTTTCTCCATCTATAAAATAAGGAAAAGGCATGAACGATAAAAGTCGAAATTGTAATCAATCTCAACCCAAGGTATAATAACATTTTTTTTTATTTCGATTAACAATTGTAAGCCAATGTCTGAACTGATTTTATAGGCAATCTGAAGAAAGAAAAAAAAACACATCAGTATAAAATTAATTTAGAGGGGATATGTTACTATTTGATGAGGTAAAACGTATTTGTTGATTTCGATTAACTTCCTCCGAAAACACTGATTCAATTGGCTCAATCGTTTTAGATCACTTGATTCAATTGGCTCGACTCATTTAAATCAATCGATTCAATTGTAAATTGGTTGACTAAGTCCACCCAACTGATTTAAATCATGTCCTTTATTCTAACCCAGTGGTCTAATATAATGTCTGGCTAAATTTATAAGTTGTTAAAAGATAAGCTATGTAACAGCTTATTATCGATATCGGTCCGGGATAAATTAAGAGTGCGTAAGCTACGATTAAAAACTTATCAGGGCTAAAAACTTGTGAGTTTAAAATAAACTTAGATAAGACTAAAAAGTGGACTTGATAAGCTATTATTATTGCATAATAAATTGAGGTATCTTGACTTGTATCAACAAAATCAACAAAACAAATAACATTGGCCAAATAAATATCATAAAAATGGTCACACTTGTACAAGAGTCAGAGAACCCCTCTACTTTGTTAGAAATGGTCTCAGATCAAGTACTTCATTAACTACACCTAATAAACGGTTGTAGGAGATTTTTGTGTGAAGCATTATCCCACTCCAACGATCCCCACCATTCTCTCTCGTTTTGCAGTAGCTTGATTTCTCTAAGAGACGGCGGACGAGAATAATTCGTTTGTCCATCGACGACTACTTCTCTAGGAAAATACAAAGGCACTTTCTTTAATAACGGACATCCCCATAACTCAATTCTCTCGATGGAACCGCAATTCATTGTTGCCTTACAAATGCTCTTCAGTCTCGGGAGGTTACGTAACTCTAACGTTTTCAACTTGGGGAGAGAGACGTTTTCTTCACCTTCTGCTTCTACTGCTTGCACTATGATGTCTTCTATATCTGGACAGCCTTTGATACGGATTTCTTCCAGGTTCGGGAAATCCGACCCTAGCAGCCCCAGTTTCTTCATCTTGTTACAGTAAAAAATGTTAAGCCTTCTGAGAGACGAAAACACGATCGATTGCTCGTTTTTCTGAATACTTTCTATTCCGTGGCAGAGTTCGATTTTCAAGATTTGAAGAGAATTGGGAATGTTGAAGTCATCCGAAAGGCACTTGCTTAAACCCTCGGACTCGTGGAATGTTAATCGTTGGGTGTCGCTTGCCAATAACGTAACCACTTCTCTCTCCTCTCTTGTCGTCTTAAAGTCTGCCGAGCTAAACATCACACTGCTGAAGTTCATATCGTTTTTAAACGCTTCAAAGTTTACCTTCCCGACTTGTACACGGTAGGAAACGGCGTGCCCCTTACTATTTTGAGATCGAATAAATCGGTCAAAATCACACACATCTTTGAGCCGCCCCTCAAACTCCTCCATCTCTTTCAACATCTCGATTTCCACAATCGGTGCCTCTACGTAATACGGAAGATAGAGACACTTGAGCTTTCTGAGGTAGAATATAAAATCCGTGGGAAGAACCTTCAACTGATAGAAATTTCGCAACGACAAGAATTCGAGGTTGACTAGTTTTTCCATTCCTGGAGGTACTTCCGTTATTTGTGTAAACGACAGGTCGAGTTCCTTTAGTGCCTTCATCTTTCCCAAATCAGATACGTGTACAAGACTACTGCAATTCCCAAGGATCAAGGCTTTGAGACTCTCCAAATCGGATAAAGAATCCGGCAGCTCCTTAATACCGGTGTAAGACAAATCGAGAGTGCGTAGGCCATGCATTTTCGAGAAAAACGAATCCGCTACGTAATGCAATTCGACATTCCAACTCAATAGCAATGTTGAGAGCTTAGGACAATAGGGAGATATTCCATCGGGGATTTCCTTTATGTCGTTATGCATTAACGACATCTTCTCGAGATCCTTCGTCCACACTTCTTCACTCGGAATTTCCTTCAAATGGTCGTAAAACCCGGCTATTACCTTGGATTTACCTTCGGTAATCTTCATGGCCATGGTTCTTACTAGATCGTGCATCTTCACACAATCACGGTCATCGTAATCACGAGACCTTTCGAGTAAACAAACATTCACTAATTTATCAAGTACGGAATGGCCCTTGTCGAATTGTGCTTTCATACTCTTTCTTTTGTCGACCAACTCTTCTGAAATGAATCTTCTGATTAATTCCTGTCGCGGTATGAGATAGTCTTCCGGATACAATGAGCAATACAAAAAACAATGTTGTAATTCCCTGTATCCGTCCTCGTTTTTTGGAACCAATTGATCAAAACTATACTTGAGAACTTTAAAAACTTTAACATCCATACGGTCGTTCCCCGTAGCAGATTCTTGTAGTTCCTCCATTGCATCTCTCCATGCATGAACTGCAGTCACACCCCTCATGCTTCCAGCTACAGTGATGATCCCTTGTGGTGTTAAATCCAACATAATTTTCTCGATTCCATGGAATGTTCTCTAGTTCGTACTCGTTTTACAATCTGATATTTACAAGCCAAGAGAAACATCTTATGATCATCTTGTTTAAAAATGTGGATTAAAAATGTGGAGCTCGAATGTGGTAAAACGGGTTCAAACTGAAGAATATTACACATAATCTAAAAGATTCCACTAAATTTGACACCACAAGGATGAACGTGTAAGAAGACTCTTCAATTAAATTTTCTCTAAGCAATTCTCTGTAATTTGTTAAATAAATCAACGAAAATATAATCAGAATAATAGTGACGCTAAATACCACAAACTTATAATATTAAATTTAATTATTGAATAGAATAATTGATTACCTTAAAAATTCCAAGTAGAACGAACACCTGCAGCTGCAGATCTACAAAATAAAGAACAATAAACATAACAATTATAACAATGGAAGAAGTATAGATACGCGCGTAGAAAGAACTGAATCATTTGAAATTGGAGAGCATACCTCAGAAGAATCAATCACGCGCGTCGAGTAGTTTCATAATCTGATATGAGACTTTGAGTAAACACTTTATGAAGAGAGAGAGAGAGAGAGAGAGAGAGAGAGAGAGAGAGAGAGAGAGAGAGAGAGAGATATGTGAATTACTACTTGAAATGTGGTGGGAAATGTCTTACTGAAGTCTAAACGTACGCATTAGTCAATAGTGGAAGTGTGGAACAGTAACGTAGAAGGAAAAGTAGACTCGAAATTGGGCAAATTGCACTTCACCCCCTGTTTATTTCCAATTTTCCCACATTCCACCCATATATTAAGAAAAAAAGTCTATGTTCCCTTCAAAATGTTATTTTTGTTGCAAGTTATCGCGGTAGCCAAATTACGATGGGTCATTCACTGGAACTAAGTTGGTTTTAATTGCAATTATCCCTTTAAAATAGTATTGTTGTTGCCGGTTGCCTCTTTCAAATGTTATTTTTATCAAACGTTGTCCCTCTAAGATATTATTTTGGAGTTTATTGTAATTACTACCCCTGTGAAAATCGCAACTACATGTTTCCCCTGTCATAAAAAAATTAGCAAATACCCCCTTGTATTTATTTTTAGATAGTATAATCGACCCATTTCCCTTTTTCCTGTTGACCGGTTGTGAAAAGACAGAAATACCGTGAGGAGGTTTCTGCAAAACAAACTTGGGGACCAAATTGAATTACTGAAAATTTATAGAAATTTAATCAAATAATAAATTAGGGGATTGAATTATAATTTTCTGGAAAATAAATATTTATAAAAATGTGGGGCTGAAAACACTATTTTGGAGCCAAATTAAAATTTACAATTATTTTGGAACTGAAAAATAATTAGAAATGTAAATTACTATTATAATTATTCGTTTAATAATATTAAGTGCAAACATTAAAACATAAACAAAGAAAATACTTATACAAATAAACATAAATAGAATTGAATTTAAATATAAATAATCTAAAACTTTGGATCAAATTGCAATTTTTTTAAATTTCTTTAACAAAGGAAAATAACACGTTTTTTATGGAAAAAAAAAGATAAAAAAGCATCGTCTTCCCCAAATTTCTTAATCTCATTGAAATTGCCACCACCACCACCGGCAGTCACCTCGTTATGCCGCGGCCAACTTCACCTCGTTGCCGCCTCCTGCAGAAATTGAGCTGCTGCCAGTGGCGGATCCAGGATGAAAATTCAGGGTATGCCGGATGTGGTGAGTCCAGGAATTTACTGCATAGTGGAGTTAAATTTTTGGGGGTTTGGGGGCAGCGCCCCCGGAAGAAAAAAAGAAAATTGAACTTTTTTTTATTGGATAAATTAGGAGAACGAAAAAAAATTGAACCTTTTTTTTTGGATAAATTAGGAGAAGAAAAAATTTAGGACTTTTTTTGTATATTTTGAATTTTGGGTGCACTAAATAATAATATAGATATAATATAATGTGTTTTTGGGGAGAGGGGCTAAAAAAGGAAAAAAGTTAGGACTTTTTTTTGTATATTTTGAATTTTAGGTGGACTAAATAGTAATATATATATAATATAATGTGTTTATGGGAGAGGGGCTCAAAAGAAATTGAGACAAGAAAATAAACATTTGAATTTTGGGTGGACTAAATAATAATATAGATATAATATAATGTGTTTTTGGAGAGGGGCTAAAAAAGAAAAAAGTTAGGACTAATTTTGTATATTTTGAATTTTGGGTGGACTAAATAGTAATATAGATATAATATAATGTATTTATGAGAGAGGGGCTCAAAAGAAATTGAGTTGAAGATCTTTACCACTAGGGCAAACTTCTATTTATTATTTGTGGTGGTCCATGGCATACTTGGTCACCCCCTAAATCCACCCCTGGCTGCTAGTGAGCTTTGTAGGAACTCGGAAGTGAGTTTCCAGGTGATGGAGTTGAGAAAAATTGACGAAGAGGAGAGGTGTTTGGTGCCCCACAAACCCGATTATGCCGTGAGAGAGTGGTAGCGGTTTGGTGTCCCCTGCCGTGGACGATGGTGGGGAACTGTGGTGGTTGGTTTTGTTTGAGAATATTGAATATTATTTAATTTCTTTTTCAATTTATTACTTATTAAAACAAAAGAAAAAAACATGATTTGCGACGAGGGGGCTTTCGCCTTTGAGTAATAAATACAAGGGGGTTACTTGCTAATTTGTTTTATAACAGGGGAATATGCGCAGTTGCAATTTTCACAGTGATAGTAAATGTAATAAACTCTATTATTTTGTTGTCCGTTGCCCCGCAAAATTGGATTTTAGGACATAAAACAATATTTTAAAGGAGGGTCGTCTCGTTTTTTTATTTTTCTTCGGGAATGTACAGATTTTAAAATTTTAATTGGGTGAAGTGCATTTTGTCCATTGAAAATTTTAATATTGTAAAAGGTCATGCGATATGGATCAATATTTTAAAGTCGTTGACCGGGGTTGGTGGCCTATTGGATAGTGTATTCTCTTAAAATAATGTTTTTAAAGCTAAAACTTTTAAGTCCTAGTTACAGTGAAACCTCTATAAATTAATACAGTTGGAAGTAGGAAAATTCTATTAATTTAGCGAATTATTAAATTATCTAGTTAATAATTTAATACGTTTTTACCGAGTCGTAACCGAGAGAAATTATTATTTAATCGCGGTTATTAATTTATCGAGGTTCTACTGCAATAGTTATTACACTCATAGGCCATATGTGTAATGTTGAAAAGCAATAAAAATCTATTAAAAGCTCGAAAATCTAATTGATGTATTAGAAAAATAAGAAAAGCTATGGAAAAGTTATTACACCCATATTTCAAAATGCATATCTTCACAGTTCAGTAGAAAACTTGAGATGAACTCTCGAACGTAACCAACGGTTGTACGAGATTCTTGTGCGAAGGATGGTCCCACTCCAACGATTCCCACCATTTTTCCTCGTCTTCGCCTAGCTCGATTCCTTTTAGAGTCGTCGGAGCAGAATAAATTAGTCCATCGTTAATGACATCATCATCTCTAGGAAAATACAACGGCACTTTCTTTAACAACAAACAGCTCGACAAACTAATCATATGAATTGAATCGCAAACCATCGTTGTGTTGCATATGCTTCTCAATCTTGGCAGCTTGTATAGCTCTAACCATTTCAATTTCGGAAGAGAGATTGTGGGAATATTTCCCCCTTCTTCTGCGTCTTCTATTATCTCTTCAATATCCGAACATTTCTTAATTGAGAGTGTTTCTAGGTTCGGAAGTTCCGAAGCTGGTAACCCTAGCTTCTTCATCTTGTTACACTCGGAAATCCAAAGAGATTTAAGGGACGAAAGTCGAGGCGGTCCCACAAATGCAGCTTCTATATTTTGCTTGTGAATCACACCCATAAAATCGGGCAAGTTGGCTAGCGTAACGTGTTCGAGAGCTACCGAATGTCGATCGTTTTTCAGAATACATTCTATTTTTCCACACTTCTTGATTTCCAAAGTGTGAAGCGAACTTGGAATTTCGAAGCCGTCCGAAAAGCAGTTGCTTAAACCCTCGCACTCGTAAAATTTAACGAATCCAATTCCGTTTGGCAATATAATAATCATTTCTTCATCGGAAAAATCTGTTTTGAAGAAAACCACAGTAGTATAGCCCAGGCACTCAACAGAGTCTGCATAGTCGTCTTCTTCTTCATCGCCAAGATGCTCGTTTCCCACTTCGATACAATAGCTTACAGAGTGCACCCTATTTTCTCGATATTTAACGAACCGATTAAAATCATGCACGTTTCTCACTCGCCCTTCGAACTCCTCAAGTTGTTGCAAACACTCGATGTCTTCTATCGGTGCCACCACTTCGTACGGAATATGGAGACATTGGAGTTTTTCGAGATTCGGTAATAAACCGGTTGGGAAAATCTCCAACTTATTGTACGCATTTTTCATCGATAAGAATTTGAGATTGACGAGTTTTTCCATTCCACGAGGAACTTCCATGATTGATGTATGCGAAAGGTCTAGTTGTGTTAGTTCCTTCATCTTTCCTAAGTAGGGCACGTACACGAGACTCGCGCAGTTTTCTAGGATTAAAGCTTTAAGTCTCTCCAAGTTAGATAAAGAATCGGGCAATACCTCGATATCGGTTTCGGATAAATTAAGAGTGCGTAAGCTCCGCATTTGTGAGAAAAACGAATCCGCTATAGAACGCAAGTGTAGATTCCTCTGTAAAAGCAACGTCGAAAGATTAGGACAATTCGGAGATACTCCAATCGGAATTTCGTTTACGTCGTTATGCATCAAAGAAATTGTCTCGAGATCTGTTGACCATAATTCTTCGTTCGGAATTTCCTTCAAAACACAATGGCCGCCTATTACTTTAGTTTTACCTTCGGTAATTTTTAGGGCGACGGTTCTTACTAGATCGTGCATCTTCACACTATCACGCTCATCAACAACACGAGTACTTTCGAGTAAGCGAAGACTCACTAATTTATCGAGTATGGAATGGCCTTTTTCGAATTGTGATTTCATACTCGTTCTTCCGTCCACAAACTCCTCTAAAATGAAATTCTTGATCAATTCGCTTCGTGGGATTTTATGATCTTGTGGATACAAAGAGCAACACAAGAAGCAAAGTCGTAACATCGGATCCAATCGATCGATATTGTATTTAATAATTTTAAAAACCTTATCATCCATATCGTCATTGCCCCCCATAACGGATTCTCGTAGCTCCTCCATTGCATCTCTCCATGCATGAATTACGGTCTCGCCCCTCATGCTTCCGGCTAAGGTGATTATCGATAGGGGCAAACCGTCGCACATTGCCACCATAGACTTTGCAATCTCTCGTACTTGTGGATTTAGTGTCGTTTGTCGACCATGTATTTCACCAAACAACTCCCACGCTTCATCCGTATCTAGTGTCTCCACTTCGATAATTTCTTGACAATTCATTTGGCGACAAACATTCAACGATCGGGTTGTTATAATCAATTGACAACCGTCCACGCGTAGAGGATCTCCCATCTTCTCCAAACTAACACCTTCCCATAAATCGTCTAATATTAAGACAAACTTCTCGTTTAGTGATAGTAGAGCTTCGTGCAATCTTGCCGCTCGTTTGTCTTCATTGCACTCGTCCGAAAGGTCCAACTTTATAACATCGGCAATTTTATCTTGTAACATCGTTACGGTAAACTCTCGAGACATTGTTACCCAAAACACACTTTCTTGAGTTTCTATGAGTCGGTAGTGGATGTGTTTCGTCAAAGTCGTCTTGCCCACACCACCCATACCGTAAATCCCGATACTCGAAACTTTATCATTCACTAAAAAACTCCATATTCTCTCCACATTTTCCTCAAATAATTTACCTACCATCTTAGTTATCGAGAATGCCTCCCCACGGATTTCGTAAACGTGAAGCACAAGTTCGCCAAAATGTTGACTTTGGTCAACAAGTTCATCGACTCTTTGTTTCAACTTTTCGGCTTCACCTCCGATAAGGAACCTGCTAACGAATCCTTGTGATTGTAATTCATTCTCCAAACTACGCAATTTAGTTTCGATGTTTTGTACCTCCGTTAACCAATTCTCGACTTCTCGTTTCCTTTTCCGTTTACCGGATTGCTCCGCGAGTTTGATTTGGTCCTTAACATCGGATTCTTTCGCAATCAACGAGTCCAAGTTTCTTTGGAGAGAATCTAAAAGGGTTGGGAATTCGTTTATGCGAGTGACAGTGCGTTGTGCATAATCTGCTAGCAACTCACGAACATTTGAGAAAAATGATTCTTTCATTTTTAATCACTTCAATCCCTGCACATAAAAGGCGAAATAATTATTGAACATATATACATTAATAAAAATGAAATTTAGTCATAACTGAAAACTGTTGTCATATTTTCTTAGACATTTTCTATTTTCTATGCAACATAGTCAAATAAATGAATCCAAATATGCCTACTATAAGGAAGAAGGTCAAAGTATATCTTTATTGAAAAATCGAAGAAAAATCCCTCTCGCTAGAAGTTAGAAAAAACCTGCTACGAAAAAATAATATGAAAAAAGAAAGAGGACTGTAATCTATATCGATGATTAATTTTTTTTTTCTTTAATTTTTTTCGAGAGTTTCGTGAAAGGTTTTTTTTTTTTTTTTTTTTTTCCGAAGTCCTAAACCTAATCGTAAACCTACATTTGTTAACTAATTCGTAAATAAATTGATTGAAACGAAGTAAGTTTACTTAAAATTACCGTAACTGAGGGTCGTAAATGACGGATTGAATGTCAAAGAGTTTAGATGTTTTGAAATTTATAGAAACTTAGCATTAACCAAATGTTAATTTATTTGCATCAAACTTGTGGAAGAAAAAGAGACAGTTCATGAGCTACTGCATCATAATTAATTAATTGAGGTTTGTTCAGATTTTATCTATGTTTATTTAAGACAAAACACATTTATCAACACTTGTAATAATCTCTGAAACAACATCCTAAGAAAGTGAAATGCCCAAAATAAAATAACCTAAAAAAAAAAAAAAAAGTTGAAGTGCATAAGTATGAGAAACTTGTGTTACCTGAAAGCTTTTGTAGCAGCAGGTTCCTCAACAGAAGAGAAATCCACACAAGCAAAAAAGAGGATGAAATTGTTTTTTTTGTATATATTTCGATAGTTTTATGAACTCAGAAAATGTCAACGCCTATGTAACCGAACCACATCTGGGTTTAGATGATGATGAACTGAAAAGCATATAATAGAGAAAAAAAATTAAAGTTTGTTTTTGATTAGTTTTATCAGAATTCTGGTGGGAGGTTTCTTTGAAACCCACCAATGAATAATAAAATATTAAAAGGGGTCATTTCATAATAAGGGTAAATTACAACCACCCCTGAGGCATTGTCAAATTACGAAACCCCCTCTTGTTTGGATAATTACAACCACCTATCAACTATAAATTTTCTTACACGTCAACCTTTGCGGTTTCAAATTTAGTGGAATCTTCGAGATTATACGAAATATTATCACTTTTGTACCCGTTTTATCCCATTCGAACTCTACATTTTGAAGCAAGATGATCATAATATGTGATTTTTGGCTTGTATATATATCAGATTGTGGTGCATTAGAATCTGTATTTTTACACAAAACAAGTACAAATTAGAGCATGTTCCACGAAATCTAGATGATTATGTTGAATTTAACACCATAAGAGTGAAGGTGTAAGATAAAATCATACTTGAGGGGTAGATGTAGTTATCCAAACAAGATGGTTGTTTTTGTAAATTGATCATACCTTAGGGGTGGTTGTAATTTACCCTAATAAGAAACTTTAGAGTAACTAGGAGGTGGTATTAAGAGAGTGTTTTGTAGATGCTACACCCGGTAAAGTATATCGAGTGATCCTGAACCATTGTTCTACACATGATAATACACACATCTATGTGTATATATACTTGGTGAACAGTTATTTGTGTAGATCTATGATGCAAAATCACTTGGTGTTTTTCCACCAAATGTAGCATTTCATAAACCATTAAAAGAGCAGGAAAAAAATTACTTTGATAATTTTGTTAAATAATCCCAAATCCAAAAGAAATGTTAACAAAATTATTTTTTTTGGGGGGGAGGGGAAGAAAATGAAAGTTTAAATGAACACCGCCAAAACATCGCCCTCTTAATCAATCTTTAGCCCTAGGGGTTTAAATCAGACTGGTCGAATTACAATTAACACTTTAAAGGAAAGAAAATCAAAATTTATCAGAAATGAAAATTTTAATTCGAATCTCGTTAAAAAAAAATTGTTCTAATATCTTGTTCATCATAATTTCATAAATTGGTATGAACAAACTTGTTCTAAAATCGAAAAATTATTTGAATCAAATTGATGGAATTCGAAAGTTTCAAACCTGTCACCTATAATTTCATAATAATATAGTTACTAGTACTTCACCCGAACGTTGCACGGAGGTCAGTTTTGAAATGAGAAAAAATAATAATATGGAAACGAATATCTCTTTATAACAACACGAATTCAAGTAAAGGCAAATGGAAGGAAATAAAAAAACATAAGCTTTATATCTTAATTCAGAGTTGTAACATATTAAATTCAATTAAATATTACAAAGAAGTAAACGTGAAGCGCGTAAAACACGATATGAGGATTAACTTAAATCATTTAAAATATATGGTATAACTCTATTTCGTGGAATGCAATCTACTACACCATGTCAATCTTCTACAAATAACTAACTTAACAACAAATACGGTAGCAGATAAGTAACACAATAGATTTTCAAATAACCTGTAAGTTTATCACTAATGGCGTTCAATTAGTGATGCACATTACTCAAACAATAATACAACTTATAAATATTGCAAAAGAGATAAGATGATACGCTATTATTGATACCAATACCGATACCGATACAAAAATCAATACTGATACCAATGATAATACTAATATCGATACTAATACTTATACTAAAAAAATGTGCGGCAATGTTTGGCTTCGTTTTGAAAGTTATTTTCATTTCATTTTGGGGAAATAAATTTTAAGCAAATATTTGAGAATTAAAGTAATATTTGTTTATATTTTGAGTGGAGACAAAATACACTGTAGCAGTCAATTCATGTTTAAACGTATTGGAAAAATATTTTAGAAGAAGAATTTGAAAAATAAAGTGTTTGTTGTTTACTGAGTATATTTTTTAGTGTGGCAGTCAAATCTACTGTAACAATCAAATGATGTCTGTAAGCGAGAAAAACTTTTGAATCTGCTATAAATTTTTTTTTAGAAAATCTTAACAAACATAAATTCATTTTCGGAAAATATAATTTGAAATATTCGATCCAAATCGGTGGAATTTGAGAAGTTTCTCATCCAATTTCCAGTTTGCAAATTATAAAAGAAAAAACGAAAAAAAATCGGAAATCGAAAAAAAAACCCGGTTCGCAAATCTATATACAAAAACCCCACAGCTTTCAGAATAGTCTCACCGTTTCTTCTTCTGCACACATACAGAAGCCCAAAATTAAATTATGGCAAAAATGTTGCTGGAACTCCCTCGGCTAACCAATTCTCTCCGGCTGCCCTTCGATGCCGATCAAGCCTATCTCAACCGTAAATCCTTCCTCCAAACTCTCAATTCCCGTAGGTATGTATCCATCAGTATTTGTGAATGCTGCTTAGATTCGAATAATCCATCGTTTTTTTTTAGATATTTTTACAGTTTGAAAAATAATCCTGTTTTGTGCAGTAGGTCTGCTGCAGTTTCTCTCGAAGAATCAGAACTCGCTCGTAAGATTTTTTATCGATGGGAAGAAGGTACTTCTGCACGCACCCTGTAGCTGTGTGTAATGAGTGTGTGCTTAGAATTTAGATAGATGGTTTTTCAAATTTTAATGGATTTCTTATTGTTGTTTCTGAGTGTGGTAAATTTCAATTAACATATAGTTAGGTGAAAAGATTGAATTTCGATTAACATTTCTGTATGCTGTTGTGTGTTAGTAATGCATTTGTTATCTCTATTGTTGGGCAGCTTCTGTTGAGGTACGGCAACTATACAAGCAATTTATCACAGTGATGGTTGAGTTGATGGGTGATGAGGTGGTGTCGGAGGAGTTTCAGGAAGTGGGATTGAATGTTTATAGGCTATTTAGTAGGGATTCTGGATCTGAAGAAGATGGGGGCGATAAGAGAATTCTGGCAAAAAAGTAAAGTTATTTTCTTAATTATCTGTTGATAGGAAAATTAAAACATTTACGTTCTCCTGGTAGAAAAATATTTTTATGTACGATATGTTTTTGATATTATATCGAAGAGCTCATAATGGCCATACGTGAATATTGTTTTCGATTTTTTTTAGCCTCAGTTGTTTCTGAAGTAAGTTAATTCACACTCATCGTGGTATACTTAAGTTGAATCACCCTTTTTGACACATAAAATGATATTTTTGTTTGAAAGGTGTTGATTTTGTAGTGCAAATGGCGCAACTTGTGATTTTATGTCAGTCATATAGTTCTAGTGAACAAATAGCTATGGCCATGGTTCGATGACGTCTTCTGTTTTAGGTCATTTATATTTCTCTTATAAAAAGTCTGGAACTTTCAAGAGGCTGAAAAGTTCGGAAACATGATGGTGACAAAGAAAAATAAAGGGAAAAAAAATACAATTGTTTGAATGCCCAAAAACATGATTTTCCAGGTTGAGATTTGTCAACGTCATTTGGTCTGTTTGCTGAGTCAGTCGCCAAGCGTTATTAGTCCTTATATCTCCAATATTTATGCATGATTTAAAGATTAAACTCTCATTTGAGTATTTCTAGTGGAACTTCGAGTTTGGTAATTATTTTTCCCATGTTTCATATTGTATAATTTCATGTAATTCAGGTCTGAGTTTCAAAAACTCATTGGTCATATTGTTCCGGAACAAAACATACTGAAAGTAGCATCACTTGTGGAGCGGCTTTCTGGTCTACAGAGTAATGAACAGGGGAATGGCTATTTACCAGAATTGGGGGGTGCAGATAGCGAGGGTTTGGAATTTGGAGCAGATCTTGTATTCCAACCTCCCGCTCGCTTTTTAGTTGATATTTCTCTGGAGGATGCAGAAAATTTGTTGGAGGAAACTAGCACATCATCTTCTAATCATGAGGGATGGTCTGATAAGGATGGATCTGCGTATTTCCGCCCACCTAATAGTGAAGTTAAGTTTGACTTAGAGTGGTTACAAAATGCATGTGACAGAATTGTTAGGGCAAGTACTTCACAACTTCCTCGAGATGAACTAGCAATGACCATTTGCCGGATTCTTGATTCAGAGAAACCTGGTGATGAGGTGTACAAATTTATAGTGCTTTTGTTCTGATCTCTCAGCTTTGTACCTACGTTTCTAACTTATGAGCGTTCAGTTTCTTATTTAAATTATGTAAATTGTAGATTGCTGGCGATTTGCTGGACATTGTTGGTGATAGCTCATTCGAAACTGTTCAAGACCTTATCATGGTATGGACAATGACAAGTGTTGACTTAATATACAGTGATTTTTGTTCTTTTGGCCATGTCTTACCTACCTGACTGAAATTTTCAAAGATCATGAATGTCTGAATTACTTTGTGGTATTGCTTGTCATTTTACGTCAAATAATTCGAGTTGATACTGAATTTATCCTAGTACTGAAAAGATCGCTTAGCCATATATGGTTCAAGATACAATCCATATTTATTTGAGTAAAGTGGTATACAAAATGCTCTGGACTTTCAGTAATTCATGATGCTTTAAAAAAATGATATGTTACTTTATTTTCTGAACTCTCCCCTCCCATCTCAGCATAGAAAGGACCTCGTGGAAAGTTTCCGTCACGGGCTGCTTGTACTTAAATCTGATAAATCAAATTCAAACACGCAGTTGCGGTTGCCTAGTTATGCTACTCAGGTAATTAATTGAAATTCCGGTTTGTTTCTTTTTAATGTGATAGGAATATTGATTTTGACATTTACGATAATATTTTATGTTCATAGGTAACTGTTCAAACAGAATCTGAACGACAAATTGATAAACTTCGGCGTAAGGAGGAAAAGAAAAATAGACGTGGAACAGATCATGGAATTGATAACAACTTGTCTTTTAGTTCCTTACTTCAAGCAAGTGAGAAGAAAAATTTACTCGATGACCTTGTGGGGCATGGTGATTCGACTCAGCTTGCTGCAACGGCTCTTCCTCAGGGCACTGTGAGAAAGCATTTCAAGGGTTATGAAGAAGTCACTATTCCACCTACACCAACTGCACCAATGAAACCTGGGGAGAAGCTGGTATATTTAATCTCTAATGCAGTACATTTTTTTCAGTTGAAAGGCATAAAATCTTATTTCGGGGTGATGCGAATAGGAATAGTTCATGGTTGTGGGGCCTTACTTCTTGCTTCATTTTTTTTATTATTCCAGATGCATATCCTTAGTTCAAAAGTGCATCCACTTATTCTCTGCACACATGCACATTTAATTGCCATATACGTGTACTTGCTTGTGTGGGTATTTGTTGCTGTCGCCGAATTTACTACTTTTTTTTCATTTCCTGAACATACTGATCTTTCTGCCTTATAACGAGTCGGTTTATTTTCTTTGCTAACAGAGGGTGCATGTTCTCTAGTTTTATATAACTTCAACTTTCTTATTCATAAAAAAGACTCCTATGAACATCTTTTGCCTGTGCAGTTTTCATTTTCATCGTACAATTATTGAGTTGCTTTCTATCGATGACAGATTGATATAAAGGAGCTAGATGACATTGCACAAGCTGCTTTTCATGGTTACAAGTCTTTGAACCGCATACAGAGCAGGATATTCCAAACAACTTACTACACTAACGAAAATATATTGGTGAAACAAATTTCATTGTATGCATTGCGTTAGTTGTTTCCTGGAGAATAGAGCCATTATATCTTGAAATATTTTCATATGCTTTGCAGGTCTGTGCACCCACCGGCGCTGGAAAAACAAATATAGCTATGATATCTATTCTACACGAGGTTTGCATGGGACCCCTTCCTTTCTTCTTGATGTGATATATATAGTTGCCTAGTGTAAAGAATGGCAGTTTAGTCGTTTGACTATTTCCAATGACAAGAAAAATTGATAGTGGGTGATAAATGTATTTTCAATGCGATAAGCAGTTTCTGTTTGCATTATACGATGTTGATGTGAAATGGGGAAGTAATTAGCACGATTTTCACCCAAAACGATGCTATAGATTGAGGAAACTCCAATAACCCTTCCGTGAGAGTGATAAATTTCTGTATCTCAATTCTCAATAAGGCTTCTAGGACATGAGAGAACTGACTTGTATAGATAAGAAAGAGCTGAATATAATTATGAAGACCTACTAGTGTTTGACTGCCAATAAATAAGTAGAGCTTCTGCATCTTGATAACTGAAAGGACCAAAGTTCAAAGCAACTTTTTACTTTTAATTAATTGGCCTCCCTTTGTTTTGGATTAGTAGTCAGATTCTCATCTTCTCATTCTGGATTATGCATATTGTTAAGTCAATTAACAATATGTTATCAAATACTCTTCTCTTCTTCTTCCCTCCGTAAATACTTTGGAATTTTCTGTATCTTTGTGCTCCTTATATATAGCCATGATTTTATATTTCCTTTGCACTTGGATGGTTTTAGTGTAACAAGTGCCAGTGCCATGGAGATACTTCTTAAATTTTGATTCTTGCAAGATAAGTTTGCTACATGAATCTTTCCTTTGATTGATCACATTCAATTGTTTTAACAGGTTCGACAACACTTCAGAGATGGTTATTTGCATAAAGATGAATTCAAGATTGTTTATGTTGCTCCGATGAAGGTAAAGTTTTTCATATAACTAACTGAAATCTTCGAATAGTTTCTAATATTTGGTCTATCCTAACTAGGCATTAGCGGCAGAGGTCACATCAACCTTCAGCCATCGATTATCCCCTTTAAATGTAACTGTGAGAGAACTCACTGGTGATATGCAACTCTCCAAAAACGAGCTTGAAGAAACTCAGGTATCTGTTATTCTTGTCATTGTAGGTTTGATTCAACTATTGTGGCCTTGGTATGACCAAAGATTTACATCATTCTGCTTGAATGGCTTGTAGGCTGGAGTCTTATGTTTTTTTCATTTCTTTCCGTGATTCAGATGATTGTAACAACTCCTGAAAAGTGGGATGTGATTACTCGTAAAAGCAGCGACATGGCACTTTCCATGCTAGTGAAGCTCCTAATCATTGATGAAGTACATTTGTTAAATGATGATAGAGGCCCTGTTATAGAAGCATTAGTAGCTCGCACTCTTCGTCAGGTATGATATATCGTTAGGATGTTGCCGATGGATGATTTTTTATTGGCATGTAGAGACTGAGGGTTCCCGAAATATTGGTGTTCTTGCTATCGTCCTTGAGAATATTTTGGGCATGTAAAATTCCCCGTTCACGTCAGAAAACATATTAACACTCAAAATGTTCAGCTAGTAATTCTAAGAATATATATGATCAGCATATACTTTTGGCATTTGATTATCTCCGTGCTTCCCTACGAAATACTATTCGTAGTTATGAAACTAGAATTGGCGTAACCAATTAAATGTTAAACCAGTAATCTATTAAATATTAAAATAGAATGTGAATATGATGGTCAAATGGCAGTTTTAGAGATGGAAAGATTTGCTTGCTTGAAGTTACTACTTGATACTGTTTAGGAGAAGAGTCGTGAATATTTGCCTTCTCATTTCCTATACACAATACTTTTTATCTTCTACTGTACTTTTGAGCACTTGGTTTTAGTGAATAATGTAATTATATTTGATAATGTAGTATTATCAAATTTAATCCATTCTTTTACTTTGAATTTTAGTGCTTCCGTTTTGCTCATTAAAATCCATGGACCAAATAGCGCCTTTAAATTTGTAAGAAAAATGAATATGAAAAGTTAAAATAATGTAAGTAGACTTAATCGAAGGCTTAAGCACAGAGGAGCGAATCTGTATCGAACTTGGCATTAGTATTATTATTAATTCTCCTAAAAATTTCAAAGTTGTCTGTTTTTTTACATAAAAAAGAATGTTCCACTCAACCAAACATTTCCCTTTCCTACGTTTCTTTTGTAGTATGGATGTTATCTTTTCAAAACCAAAAGTTCCAAACATTGTAGTTGTTCAAATTGACACTCCAACTTGGGTTGAGTGATCCGAGTGATACCAGGTTTAACTTTGCCCAACTTATGAAACTCCATGACATAAAAAATCCCCAAATGGCTTCGATCATTATCTCACCACAGCTGTCGCCATTCATAAAGCTTAATCGCATCATTGACGATTATTGTCACAACTGTATATAAATTCTTACTCTTTACAGTGTCAGAATGATTGTTTAAATTGATTCATATAATTTCATTTCCATGTCTTCTCTTCTTTGGAATCAATCTTATCTTCTTAACTCTTCCATGAATGTTAAATGACTCATTTAACTTTTGAACTACACTTCTGCAAATAAGTTATTATTTATGTGTATACATTTTAGAATATAAGAATGCCAATCAGTGGATCCATTTGTATGTACCAACTTCTGCTACAAGCTGTAATTTGGAGCATAAATGTCGAAGTTAGTTTCATGTTCCATATTGATAACACATAGAGTGGGTTATCAAAGTCAAAATATTCTGGAGTAAGTTTGGTTATTGAAATCGAAGTGTTTCATAAGCTCAATTAATAATGTACTTCATGACGCACTCACAACTCATTGGTGCTCTCTTTTGGATACAAATTTTTCGATCTAACACTGTCTTTCATGTTCATACAGGTGGAATCCACACAAAGTATGATACGTATTGTTGGTCTTTCTGCAACTCTACCCAATTATTTGGAGGTAGCTTGCTGATAGCGTTGTTCTAAGCAAGTTGATCATTTACATGGAATAATTTTTTCCTTCCTGATGATCTGTAAATATATATTTGCAAAATTAGGTTGCACAGTTTCTGAGGGTAAATCCAGACGCAGGCCTCTTCTTCTTTGATTCAGGCTATCGCCCAGTACCTCTTGAGCAGCAGTACATTGGGATTTCTGAACGTAACTATTCAGCTCGTAATGAATTGATGAATGAAATATGCTACAATAAGGTGGAATTTATCTCTTGAATTTTCTAATATGCAATGTTCAATTTACAAATAACATTGTTGTTTTTTCATCAGGTTGTTGATTCATTAAGGCGAGGACATCAGGTCATGGTTTTTGTTCATTCACGGAAAGACACAGCAAAAACAGCTGATAAACTGGTAACATGCCTAATCATTTTTTCTCATATAATGTTCTGGAAAGAGGCTCTATATCTGTGTTAAGTTTCGGTGATCCCTATTATAGTTTTAAAAGAAAAATAGCCTTATCATTTTTTCTCATATAATGTTCTGGAAAGAGGCCCTATATCTGTGTTAAGTTTCAATGATCCCCATTATAGTTTTTAAAGAAAAATGAGAAGTCAATGTGGTCACCTCAACTAAGAAAGTGAATTGTAGTCCTAATGACTTATTATATTTGCTGCATGGAAATGTGGAAGATTAATTATTTTCTGTATGTAAAAATAAGTAGCGAATGTGCACTGTAATTAGAACAGTGGGTTTCAACCCAATACAAGAGTTTAATGTGTTGTCAAATCATCGTCTTTTCAGCCTTGACATGCTAATTTTATTTGGATTTTTGGTTAAACTGCAACCTGGTTGAAAATTAATTATCAGAATTATAAAATAGAAAGTTAACAGGAAGTCATGTTATGAAGGGAGGTGCACTGAGGACAACCTCAGTGTAGATGGTTTTAGATGTTTAAGTTGTCTGAAATCAATGAAAAGCCAGATGGGCCAAGGTTCTGACTAAAAGTATGTCCGGTATATTTCGGTGTACGCATTGCTGGGAAATCTTGGTCTCATGCTAGTAATATGTGATAGCTTACTTTGAGGTTTCTGCATCATGTGTGGGAATTCGACTAGTGGAAGGGCAATAGAGTTACAACGATAAAGTTGTAATTAAGAGCCTAAGACTCGCTGAAAAAAATCTTTGGTTTTTTTCTATATTGGAAGAAGTTTTCCCCTGTGAGTATAATAGACGCACCGAGCAAGATCATATCTCTTCGCAGACAGCATAAAATCAAAGATGATATCATTCTTAGAGTCATCAATATGTCGATATATGTGCTCATGCTATAATTTTTGGTTCTTATTATTTGAAAAAGCTGTAACTAACATACAAGTCACTTCCACTTTATAACCTCATTTCAAGGCCTAATGCAATGCAGTTCATAGACTGCTTATGCTTTATAACCATATTGCATGGCATACTGCGCAGGTTGAAATGGCCAAAATGCGCGAGGACTTCGATCTCTTCACAAATGCTTCACATCCTCAGCAGGGACTTATGAAGGCAGGGAACTTTTGTTTATAAGTTTTATTTGACATCCTTCTTGTGTAAAGTTAATTGTTTCTGTTAATCATTCATCCTTTTTAATGAATTCATGCATCTCAGAAAGAAGTTCTGAAGTCCAGAAATAAGGACGTTGTACAATTGTTCGAATATGCTGTTGGTATCCATCATGCTGGGATGCTACGTGCTGACAGAGGATTGACTGAACGACTTTTCTCTGAGGGACTTCTAAGAGTATGCCGCTCACTTTTCAGCTCATCTAATCTCTCTTATCTTTCTCTAACGCACTTCGTTATGGCTAGGTTCTTGTTTGCACTGCAACTTTGGCATGGGGAGTAAATCTGCCTGCTCACACTGTGGTGATTAAGGTTGTTCCACTTTAAACTTTACATTTCTGATAATGTGTTCCTATCAGAATCGGTTATCTATGAACATGCAATCATGGACTTCTACATGCAATCTTAAAAATCATTATCATGTATTCTTTGAATTTGTCTAGTTTCTTCCTGGCTCTATCTTTGGTGTAGTTCACTAGAGGAACTGCTTTCTTCGATTAGTGATATCATTGTCCAATCCCCTCCATAATTATGTTTTGAAATGTATCTTCTATTCTCATTTTGGTAACTAATCTGTGCTGCCATTTCCTTTATGTGTATAATGACATTTCACTTCTAAAAACTAGTAAAATAAATGACAGATTAAATTTCTAGTTTGAGAGTCAAGCTGTATAGGTACATAATTTTACTTTCTTCAACTCTGATTTATATATGAGTTCTAATAAGACATTTATTTCTGCACGGACAGACTGATATAAACTCCTGATTTTGACGTCTTGTTTGATTTAAGTATTATTCAATGGGGTTGCCTAGATATGTTGCTGCGGTTAACATGTTTGGTAAAAGGACTGGTCCAAATTGACACATTCGTATTGAACTAAATTTTTTGTTTATTTTCTATATTGCGTTAGTATATTTTGTTTTGATTTTATTAATAATTTGCTTAAAGTTAACTTCTACTAAAATCAATAATATTCTCATTCGCCCATTTTTGATCAATTTTAATTTATGTTAAAAATGTTATTTGTGATGTTTCTTGTGGTATAACATTTTCTTCTGGTTCCCTCTTCTGTCTGAACTGTAATAAAAGATGACTTGATGTAAAGGTTTCTTCACGGTGTTTGAATCAGCTAAATCTTCTGCTATTTTTCGTGTTTCACTTTGTTGTATAGAAGCATATATTTTCCAGCTCCTGTGGTAATCAGTTTATGTAATTTGAATAAGCTGTTTTGCTGCCTGTGTGGTAATTTTTGGTATTTGCTCCCTGTACTTCACTTGCCTTGTACAACCAAATTTCAACCTTTGGAACTTCACTAAAGCAATAGATCAAGTTTGCTAGAGCTGAACATGTTTTTATGCATATTATACCAGGGAACTCAAATATATGACCCAAAGGCTGGTGGGTGGAGAGATATAGGCATGCTTGATGTTATGCAGGTGCGGATTTTCCTTATTTGTGCTGCTATATAGGTTTTCTGTCAAATGTTATTCTTCTATAATATTTTCTTCTGAAGTAAAAATTCCTTCTATAGATATTTGGGCGTGCTGGAAGGCCTCAATTCGATAAGAGTGGTGAAGGCATTATAATCACTGGTCATGACAAATTAGCATACTATTTGCGACTTTTAACGAGTCAACTTCCTATTGAGAGTCAGGTGATCCTTGTTTTTCTCCTCTTTCTTTCTGTTTCTAGTAATAGCTGAATCCTGATCTTGGAACTGTAAGCACGTGAACACGAACTCACCGAAATATGACAGAAGCCTCCTCACCTTGGACCTGCAACTGTAATCACCTTTCACTTTTTTACCGTGGGTCAAGAGAGTGAAACATTGATTACAACTCAGAGTAAGAAAAGAGGGAGTTGACTAGGTTGATTACCTAGAGGTTAAGATGAGATTTGATCCGTCTTGCTCTAATTTTATTATTTTGAAAATTGACACGTACGTGATCTCTGTTTTTACATGGTCTTGCCTTTTGGGTTCTTTCACTAACTTTGGTTCCTAAACAATTGACCAAGCAGCCAACCAAGGATTTGATTGGGGAACAAAAGTTTATCTTATTATCATTGATATTTTTAACTGCTCATTGACATTTTTTTATCTGCTGATTGAAATTTTCTTATTAGTTCCCTTTATTATATTTCACAGTTTATCACCTCGCTGAAAGATAACTTAAATGCTGAGGTGGCATTGGGCACTGTTACAAATGTCAAGGAAGCTTGTGCTTGGCTAGGGTATACATATCTTTTTATAAGGATGAAAATGAATCCTCTAGCCTACGGTATTGGATGGGATGAGGTATATCCTATTTCTATGTTCTTTTATTGTATAAATGAACATACTTGTATCTTCTTCTATTCATTCTTATGCACATAGTTTTTTGATCTCTGCCCTCATCCCCTTGATGTCCTTTTCATAACTATAGCAAGGCTTCTCATTTTTCTGAGCTTCCTTGTCTTATGGGACTTTTATCCTTAAGTTTACTTCATTGAACTTCCCTCTCTCTCTCTCTCCCTCCCTCCTTTATGTCTGTACATTAATTATTGGAACATGACAGGTCATTGCAGATCCTTCATTGAGCCTGAAGCAAAGAGCTCTGGTTTCAGATGCTGCACGTTCTCTTGATAAGGCAAAGATGATGCGCTTTGATGAGAAAAGTGGAAACTTCTATTGTACTGAGCTTGGTCGTATTGCTAGCCATTTTTACATTCAATATTCCAGTGTGGAAACTTATAATGAATTGATGAGACGCCACATGAGTGATAGTGAGGTATTATTGCTTCATAATGGAAACTGAACTCTTTCACGATAAGCACATGAATATTGCTTCATAATGGATAACATAATAGTATTATTGCGATGAGAAAAAAACTTTAGTTATCTTTGTTAAGTCATCGAATAAATATTTCTTTTTGCCTAAGCCAAGTCCTTTGTTTTTCTTGCTTTATAGGTGATTGACATGGTTGCCCATTCTTCTGAATTTGAAAATATTGTTGTCCGAGAGGAGGAGCAAAATGAGCTGGAAACTTTGGCCCGCACATGTCCTTTAGAAATCAAGGGTGGCCCATCAAGTAAACATGGAAAAGTGTCAATTCTTATTCAGGTTAGTGTCTCTGACTACCAGTATAAAACATGAACTTTTGATTCAAAGGAAAAGCCACCCCTGTCTTATGATCATGAATTATTTTTGTCCTGCAGTTGTATATATCGAGGGGCTCAATTGATAGTTTTTCACTTGTTTCTGATGCATCATATATTAGTGCAAGCTTGGCTCGTATTATGCGGGCCTTATTTGAGATTTGTTTGCGAAGAGGGTGGAGTGAGATGACTTCCTTCATGCTGGACTACTGCAAGGCTGTGGATCGTCAAATTTGGCCCCATCAACATCCGCTCAGACAATTCAATAGAGATATTTCATCGGATGTTCGTCCAGAAAATTGCTGTTCTTAACTATTTTGGTATAGTTTAAGTTTAAATTTTATACTAAAACCCTTTCCTTTACATTCTAATTTTCAGATACTACGGAAGCTTGAAGAAAGAGGAGTGGACTTAGACCGGCTATATGAGATGGAGGAGAAGGACATTGGAGCTTTGATTCGCTATGTGCCTGGAGGAAAGGTATTCTTTTTGTTACTCTTGTTATTTTTTAGGACTTGGACTCTCTGTTAATCTGTTTGTTGATTTCCTATTGAAGTTGGTGAAGCAATACTTGGGATATTTCCCGATGGTCCAGTTATTTGCTACAGTAAGTCCAATCACGAGAACTGTTCTAAAGGTAATGGCAAGTTGGCAATATCATCAATTTCTTTCAGCTGTGATATAGTTTTTTGATCCCATTAATTGTTATACTAAGTAACAATATCTCTTCATATTAGGTTGATTTGACTATTACACCGGAGTTCGTCTGGAAGGATCGGTTTCATGGTACCGCACAGCGCTGGTGGATTCTAGTTGAGGTGCTTCCTTGTTAATTTGTTTTTTTGGTTATTTGGAAAAGTTAAAGGACTAATGGGTTCTCAGTCTCTCATTTTTATGGATGAGAAATAATATGATAATTCTTGCCGTTTAAGGCTTTTCTTGAATCTATATTATAGCGAAGTGACAAGTAAAGAAGGACTGTAGCATTCTTTGCTAAATCTCAATTACACTAAACCTGATAGCTGAGAAATGCAAGTCGTTTGCAGGAGATAGTTAATATTTCTTCATAAACTGAATCTTCAGGACCTTAAATTAGATATACGCTCTCTTCTTTTATCACTTATATTTCTTTCTCACAATTATACCTAAAAGATACCATTATTTGTAGTTTAGCAAACTTTTAAAACCCATTGCTGGTGGAACTCTGTGGGAGAGACAAATAATTAAGTGTTGCGACCAACTATAGTAGGTTCCATGGACTGTCTTAGGAACGAGAACTGCTAAATACACTAGTTCACATTGTATTATTGGTTTAAAAAAATATTTGTTCTAGAAATTCTTGATGTTTAGCTATGAAAAATATGAAGTATGAAAGCAGAATTGAAATCTCTGTTAATTGAGCATCTAGTTATTGGTTTGGTTACAGTATTCTCTAATATGTTTAGTTGAAAGAGCACTGAATGCGATGAACCCTCTCAATAGTTTTCTTTGCTTGATTCTTCTTTATGCATTTTAGGTCCGAATGTCTTTCAAAGATGCCTTGCGCATTGAGAATAAATAATGCTGAAAGTCCAACCTCTTTATCCTTAGGCTTGTGTGGAAACAAATTGGTAACTAGTAGGTAATTGAACTTTAGTACATCCTCTTTCCCTTGGTCTACTTTCTGCATCATGGTTCTTGTTATACATGATGGTTCAAGAATCACATTGACAAATCTTTGATCTGTTAATGCCTTAGTACTGAATGATTTATTAGTGTTTGTGTTGTTGTAAAAGCCCCTCCTGGGTTGCTCGAAGATGCCTTGGGATTGGAACCCCCAACCTGGCTCTCCCCACATGAAAAAACACTAGACTAAAGCTTTAATGGTGTTTGACACATTTTAGTTGATTCACTATGGGATTGGAATTGTCAAGATCATTACTTATGTATGGATCTGTGTTTGGGGCATAGCTTGTCTTCTGATGCTGTTTTTTTTAATATTTGGGCACTCTGATACAGCTTACGGTGTATGCTTCTGGCAATTATTTTCTTTTACCATTGAACTTGTCGTCTATGATGATCCCTTATCATCTGCAGTATATCTATGAATGCATAAGATATTCTTCACTTTTTATGAATGATTGGTGCATTTACCAAGTCACATTTTTGAAGTGTAGTTTTTGAGGTAGTATGCTTATATACCTATTTGCTTGAAGTTTCAAGTTAATGTCAGCATTCTCTGTGCTCTCTAAGCAATTGAACTAAATGGCTGGTCTTTTTCTTTACTAGGATTCTGAAAATGACCATATATACCACTCGGATCTCTTTACATTAACAAAGAAGACGGCGAAAGCGGAGCCACAGAAACTATCCTTCACCATTCCGATATTTGAGCCACATCCACCTCAGTATATCATTCGTGCAATTTCTGACTCATGGTTGCATGCGGAGTCTTTCTACACTATATCCTTCCAGAACCTTGCGCTCCCAGAGGTGGTCTCCAAAATAACTTGTATTCTTTTGAACTTTTTTAATAGGAATTCAGCAGTTAGATTCTCATAATTACTGAGTGTGATCCTTCCTGCAGGCACATACGACTCATACTGAACTCCTTGACCTGAAACCACTTCCTGTAACTGCACTTGGCAATGAAACTTATGAAGCATTGTATAAATTTACGCACTTTAACCCCATACAGACGCAGGTTTTGATCGAACTTATTATATATTTCATTCTTTGTTTGTAGTTTTAGTCTCTTTCTTTTTTTTACCCAAAGCTTCACTTTGGCAGGCTTTCCATGTGCTGTATCATACAAACCAAAATGTTCTTCTGGGAGCTCCAACAGGAAGTGGTAAAACCATATCAGCTGAGCTTGCTTTGCTTCACATGTTCAATACGCAGCCTGATATGAAGGTACTGAATTTTGGATGAAGTTGATTTCTATTGTATTTGTTTCGTTCAACTGACGGTTTAGGTTTGTCTTTCGTTGTCGTTGATTGTATTTTTTTTTTGCATTAATGCAGGCTATCTATATTGCACCTTTAAAGGCTCTTGTTCGAGAAAGAATGAATGATTGGAGGAAGCGTCTTGTTTCCCAGCTTGGAAAACGCATGGTGCTCACAGTTTTACTTATTAATGCATAAATATGCCAAGCGTAACTAGTCTAACGTGACTTCATTATTAGGTGGAGATGACAGGGGATTATACACCAGATATGAATGCTCTTTTAGCGGCCGACATTATAATTTCTACACCGGAAAAATGGGATGGTATCAGTCGTAACTGGCATACTAGAGGCTATGTTAAGAAGGTGCCCTATTTCTTCTACTGCACTTCAGTTGACAAGTTGGCTTGTCTTAGTTTTTTGTTTAATTTGCATATTTGAATTTCGATTTTAAATCATGTTATGGATCTGAAGTCGCCATTTGTGGTCGACGGCTGTTTTTCTCACATCGACCCAATATTATGCTATAATAAGAAACTGTAATTTTCATTTAATCATGAATCTGAGTTGCCTTTCATAATTTTTGAAAAATACCTCTAGGTTGGACTAATGATATTGGACGAGATTCATTTACTTGGCGCTGATCGTGGACCCATATTGGAGGTATGTACTATGCATGCTTGAATGTAGTTCCTGTAAGAATCAAATATAGACTTGAATAAGTACTGAGTCTCTTTTGGCCTGCATGAAATGTCTGGTAAGTTGACCTCTTGCACTAGAACTAAAGTTGAAATTCATCTTGGAACTTGGAAGTTCATTATAGTGAATCTTATGCTCCTGAAGTTGGAGTTTCTTTGAAATGCTGTTTAAAATTCTGTAACTGTAGTTCTTTTTTCGCTAGCTTGTTTTCCTACCATTATGGGAGTTATGCTGATGTATATGAAAATCCTAGATTAAAACTACAGAGAAAGCTTACAAAAAAAATCCCGCCCTTCATCTTTCCATCTAAAACTCTTTTCTTCTGTTTATAATGTAAATCTCTAGAGGTGTTTTGGGATCTCTTCCAAGGGTTTGTCATGATGCTTTTTGAGCTGGACAACCAGCTCTATTAGCAACTTTCTTGGCATTGAATGTCATTATTATTCACTAAAATGCTATGTGATATTGTGATATAATTATTTCCAAAATGATTTGATATTATCTGGAAAAGTTCACAACATTGTTAGCATATGTTTTATCTATATCTATGTTTATTTTCCGATGAAAATAAAACTAACTGAAATTTACGCGAGATGTATTACTCTTATGTCTTCTCAGTGTAAAAGGAAATAAAGGTTCTTGACGTGAGAACCTTGTAGTAACAATAACGCCTGTTCTAAATTACTTGCATTAAAGTCTGTTTGATCCTTGTAGATTCTTATACAATGCTGCCTGTGACTTTAATGATGAAGGATAACAGTATATCTGCATACATGTTATAGAGTAGACATTATTTCATTTTCTTATTTTATATGTTTTTGAAATTGTTTTCGTGACACTCGAGCACTCGCTGAAATCTATATATCATGTAGCATTTAATAAATAATATACTTGAATAGGTTATCGTATCTCGGATGAGATATATATCATCACAGACAGAGCGTTCTATTCGATTTGTTGGTCTTTCCACAGCACTTGCAAATGCACAGTAAGTTATTAATTGTCCAAATTTTTGTTGATTTAGTTTGTATTCCTTTAAATTTAAATTCATTAACCTTTTAGTATTTTCTCTATGATTTCACATATTTTAGCATGTTCCTTTAGTGTCCTTCCCCTGCCGATATTTTTGTACTACATGAAATTTATCCAAATGGATGAACAGTTTTCCAAATTTATTGACTAGCCAAGGCCTATTTTAAGTGTGAATTTTATTGAACTTGCAAAGTATAGACTGTTAAATATGTCAAGCATACAAATTGTTCTTATATAGTTAGGCCACAAGTTAAGAAAAGGCTAAACTCGAAGCCATATATGAATGAGGCCTGCCTCGTAGTTGAAAAATATCAGGGCAAGTCAATACATGTTTGCTAACTGCACCTACTTGAGCTGGGCGGTGTTTGTAAAACAAAAATGAACCTCAAGCGGCATTTGTAATTTTCAAAGTTGATGCCATTTTTTAGGGTACTATGTCTTATTTATAGAAGATAATAGTCGTTTCTTTTCTTTAGCATCCGATGTCTATGTTTTTTCTCAACTAGGAATTTTTCACACAATTTTTTTCATTTTTTTATTGCTGACAATCTTTTTTATTTTTTATTTTTTTTTATTTTTAAATCACACTAGTGTATGTCCAATCATCACGACAGGAATGTCTATTTGACTTGTACTTGCATCGATGTCTATATAGCCCACTACTGATTCATACTTACATATATGAATATTTATGTTTATATATGCATGTCAATGTTATATATAAATTACTATATTTTGGATGCTGGTCCTAAAGTTTTTGAAAATGGCTATGTCCTTTGTTTGTATCCTTGCACTGTGAATATGTTTGTTGTTGTTTTTGTCTCTTATTACGATGATGAGTCTTTTCTTATATTTTGATCCAGTGATTTGGGTGATTGGCTGGGTGTTGAAGAAAATGGGTTGTTCAATTTCAAGCCTAGTGTTAGGCCTGTTCCTCTTGAAGTTCATATCCAGGCAAGTAATGCACCTAGTCTATGTCGTTTTTTGTCTTCATAAAACATCAGGAAACTTCATATGAGATGGTGCTTTCAAAGAATATGTTAATGGTACTTTCATTTCCCGGTACTGTTGTTCATATTGGATTTTTTTCTCCATCAGGGTTATCCTGGAAAATATTACTGCCCAAGAATGAATAGCATGAACAAACCCACTTATGCTTCTATATGTACCCATTCACCGACAAAACCAGTTCTTATATTTGTTTCATCACGTCGTCAGACTAGACTTACTGCATTGGACCTCATTCAGGTGAGAATCAAATTCATGCCTTTTTTTCTGTCAAGTTTTGTTAGCTACTGAGCTTATTTTTCCGTTTCTGTAAATAAAGTATGCAGCTTCAGATGAGCACCCAAGACAGTTCCTGGCTATACCTGAAGAATCTCTTCAGATGATACTATCCCAAGTAACGGACCAGAACCTTAGACACACACTGCAGTTTGGTATTGGGTTGCACCATGCAGGACTGAACGATAAGGATAGATCTCTTGTTGAGGAACTTTTCGCGAACAACAAGATTCAGGCAATGATAATATTTCACCCACTCCGGTTGCATGATTCGAGAATAACATTTTAAACTGGTCGCTTTTGTCTAAATATGTTTTCCCCCTTGTGATATTGTCTTGTCTCTATATTTCCTTCAGGTATTGGTTTGCACCAGTACATTAGCATGGGGTGTGAATCTTCCAGCTCATTTAGTTATTATAAAGGTCAGTGAAAGTGACGAATAGCTTTCCCCATCTGCATATGACTGATAAAATTATTTATATCATGTGTATGTTGTTTATTTGCCATCATTAGACCATGATCATATATTATTTTTGTCTATTTTTTTCATGATTGACTTTTGGGATATTTGCCCAGCACAAGTTAATATTGAAGCTATAGTTCCTTTTCCATGTCAGTGACATGAAAAACAATGATCAGAATGCCCATATAGTGACCTGATTGTGCTTACTTTAAATTTACTGCGTTATTTACTTTGATAGTTATATCATCATGGTAGTTTGTTACTGCTGGGATCAAGATCAGTATGAAGTTGATAGAGAAGTTTGTGGACTCAGCTATAAAAGGATCCTTTAGTTTGTTGCTTAAGAGTAGAAACATAGAAAGAATGAAAGATAGCACGGAAATTCCAAGTTAAAAAGCAGCCATGGACAACACAGGAACATTTATTACAGAATAAGGTGGGACTAGTAACATAAATCTTATGAACATGCGAAACCGACAGTAGCATGTTGAGTTATGAACAATTTTTTCTTTTCAAACTAAAAGCCAAAGTATGTAAAATTTATATCATAAATTCTCTCATGTACTTTCATCTTATGGATATTGGATAACGTTTTTAGTATAGAAGGATATTGTTTGCAAACAACGCAAAAATGTAGATTATATCTTTCACGTGAATTGGGTATGACCTAATTGTTTCAGAATGTCTTTATTGGGAGGTGAAATTGACTAGTTTGTCCTTGCCATCCTAATTGCTGGATATTCATGTATCCATTATTGTTGTGTGGAAACTAATAATGGATATTATTGCTACCCTACCACAAGCGGGTTGGGGAATCTTAGTTACTTGCATACTTTCTGATCTATGATCTATGATCTGTGTGTATGCTTTATTCGCCCGTATTGTTAATCCAGCTTTATTTAGTTTTCGTCCACTTCCAGCCTTTTAGAGAAAGTAATGCTCTTCTATGTGTCATCCAATCAGGGAACAGAATTTTTTGATGCAAAATCAAAGAGATACGTTGATTTCCCTATAACAGATATTTTGCAAATGATGGGCCGAGCAGGACGACCTCAGTTTGATCAACACGGCAAAGCTATTATTCTCGTTCATGAACCAAAAAAGAGCTTCTATAAAAAGGTACCAAAAATTGAACAATTGTGCATAGTTAGTTACGTCGCTACTTTTGCACTAAGTGAATAAATTGGTTGGTTTGTAATTTTTTTCTTCCTTTTGCAGTTTCTTTATGAACCATTTCCAGTTGAAAGCAGCCTGAGAGAACAGTTGCATGATCACATCAATGCGGAGATAGTTTCTGGAACGATTTGTCATAAAGAAGATGCAGTACATTATCTCACCTGGACATATTTGTTCCGTAGATTGGTATGCTTCTAGATATTTTGACATTTTGAATATGAATTAGTTCCCTATATTGGGTCTATTGTTTTCTTACTGGTGCTCCATCAATCACTTGTCCAGTATATTAGTGTCAAGAAGCAGTACCATACACTAAAGCTTGTTGTTAATTAGCACTCATTTCACTTTTTTTTTCATCTAGACATCATATTGCCTAGAGGATGCCATGCCTTTTCTTCTAGAGTATCTGCCACGTACAGTATGAATAAAATTCATGCTCAATAGGCTGGCATTTTCTCTCTGCCCTTTATCCAGTTCTAAGGTTGTCTCATTAATAGAGTTTTTGTTCCTCTTATAACAGATGGTTAATCCAGCTTATTACGGCTTAGAGGATACAGATCCTGGAACTCTGAGTTCTTACATGTCAAGGTGGCATGGATTTATTTTTAAGTGCCTATATTGGAATTTGGTTACACTACTTGGCAATTCCGTGTCTCAATAATATATCTTTTTAACAGCTTAGCGGTCAGCACATTTGAGGATCTTGAAGACAGTGGTTGCATTAAAATTGATGAAGACAGGGTTGAGCCAATGATGTTGGGTTCAGTAGCATCTCAGTATTATCTCAAATATACAACTGTTTCCATGTTTGCTTCAAATGTAGAAGCAGACACAACACTCGAAGTCAGTTAACTCCCGAAGTCTATTTCTTTGGCTTTCTTATATTTAATTTGATTTTAGTTCTATTATTTGCTGTTCTAGGTTTTCCTTCATGTATTAGCTGGTGCTTCTGAATACGATGAGCTACCTGTGAGACACAATGAAGTAAGTTACTAATTCCCGACTGAGGATTTTATGGAGAAGTATATGTGCTTTTATCAAAATGCACGAACTTGTTCTTCTAACAAGTAGTAATGGTTAATCTTTACAAGTTAAAAACTCTGAATATGTAACTAGTTTTTTCTGATTTTATATATACTTAGTGAGACCTTGGCTTGATTTAATAACTCCTGTTGTCCTTGGTTGTAATTTATTTTTGGTTTGATTTAAAATACATCTTTACAATATTACATAGCAGAAAGAAAGTGGGAACATAATTTATCAACATTGTATTTAAGATTTTAAGTGTCAATATTGTCTTCTTTGGTTATTGACGTGATCATTACTAATCCTTTTCTTTTTAAACTCTCAATTCTGTTTGTTGGCTAAGCTTAGAAAAATTGGAAGTAACTTTTTCTAATGCAAATTATTCTAATTAGTCTGCAAATTATTCTAATTAGTGTGCAAACTAATATAAATTTTTGAACTTACTGAGCAGTGGGGCATTTTAAGACTATTATTAATTTTTTATTTACTAATTATAGCAGACCCTTCCCTTTTGAAGTTCTTGAATTTATATATTTGTCATAATAATTTGAGTTTTTGTGCCCTGTAGGAAATTCACAATGCCGAACTGTCGAATAAGGTTCGCTACATGGTTGACAAGAATCTTCTTGATGACCCTCATGTGAAAGCAAATCTTCTATTTCAGGTTAGCGCAATCCTTGTTTTGCCTCGTCAACCTCAGTTTTTGTTGGATGACCTCAAAATTTGATCGGCCAGAAGTTGTTAATATGCATATTTGTTTACTCTTGGAATTGCCTATCTTCTTACACGCATTTGAACGGGATACAGGCGCACTTTTCCAGAGTTGAACTACCAGTTACTGACTATGTCACGGATTTAAAGTCAGTGCTGGATCAAAGTATTCGTATTATCCAGGCAATGATAGATCTCTGTGCTAATAGTGGATGGCTCTCTAGTATGATTACTTGTATGCATCTTTTGCAAATGGTTATGCAGGTAGCCTCTATAGTCCTATTTCTCATTGTTGTGTTTTTTCCTTCCTTTTCGTTCGTAGTAGAGAATGTATTGCTTGCTGAAGCAGTACTCTTCCCGTCAGATATTGTTTCTCCAGACATTTTTTTGGTTTATTACAGGGTTTGTGGTTTGACAAAGATTCTTCCTTATGGATGCTGCCATGCATGACAGATGATCTTATTACTACCTTAGGCCAGAGAGGAATCTCGAGTGTCAGGCAGTTATTAGATCTTCCCACTGCAAGTTTACAGGCTCTTATTAAAAGTTCCGGTGCCTCGAGGTTACACGAGGTCTCGTTATCCACTTCACTAAAGCAATTTGATTCACTTCATTATTTCTTATGCCACTTTGATATGATTGCTTTCTGGATTACGCAGAAGTAGCTATGTTTGCTAATTTTCAGTTTTATGGTATCTCGTACATATAGTTTTATTTGCTCTTTTGAGAATCCAAGTGAGATATTTAGATAACATGCCTCATTATTATTGTTGTGTCAATGAGTAGAAGTTACCGAAGTTCTTGTTAAGCAGTCACAGTGTTCTTCTAAAGAGTTTGCAAGGTCTTCTACTTGAGCACTTCACATTAATGGTGCATCCAACATCTTCCAATCTTTTTCTGCAGTGACTGCTTAACAATAAATGAAATTATATATTCATGATCATCGTGATTATGTTGTCATTGTCAAGTGATACTAGTTTCTCGTTTCAGATCTGAAGGACATATTCACATTCATCTAGTTTTAATATTTGTCAACTATGATTATAGGATCCTACTGTTTTCAATTCGTCTTTATCCAACTACTGCTGCCATTCTACTTCTCATGTTATCTCTGCTATTTTCCATGGCCACAGGAACTGCAGCATTTTCCTCGTATTCAAGCTCGATTAAGAGTTCAGAAACAAACAGTTCAAGATAACCCTCGTTTTAGTCTGAACATAAGACTGGAAAAGACGAACAGGCATAGGAAAACATCTAGAGCTTTTACTCCTCGCTTCCCTAAGGTCAGTCTCGTAATTTGCGGATATTATTTACGATTTAGTAAAAAAAAAAAGGCTGACAAATGTCGTGCTAAAACAGGTTAAAGACGAGGCATGGTGGTTGGTCCTGGGAAATACCTCTACCTCTCAACTACATGCATTGAAGCGAGTTTCTTTTGCAGATGTCTTGCAGACAAAAATGGATATACCATCAAATGTAAATGACTTCCAGGTAAAGTGCAATTTCAGCTTCTTCTTGATTTGCCTGCACAGCATATTCTCTCAACAGTTTGATAGAGCCAAACTAGTAAGAAGGGCATTTTAGTCATGCTGTATATTTCTTCCTGATATCCATGCATATTTATTAGCTTTCTTAATACGTGTGCCGAAACCTTAAACGGCATTTAATATGAAACGGAGGGAGTAGCAGTTACCACGAGAGACTTCTCTCACTGTATATGACTTGTTTTTTTTTTAAACTTCTTTATTTTCTTGCTTATCTGGGGAGTTTATTGTTTCCTCAGGATATGAAGTTGATCATCGTTTCAGACTGTTATGTTGGTTTCGAACAAGAGCACTCGATTCAAAGGCTCCTGTGATCTCATCTGTCAAGTTGCTGACGAATCGGGTATCACCATTAATTATTCGATGAGCATTAAGTGTCGATGTCAAGCGTTTATACTTGGCCAGATTTTCTACGCCAGCCCGATATTATGAAAACATATGCAGTAGGTATACTGTGTTTTTGTACATTGGTTTCATTGCCAAATACGAAATGCGGCAGTTCCAAGTTTGATAGTGCCGCTTACAGGTTTCCTTTTACTTGTGTAGATAAAACATTTGGTCTGTAAAATTTGAAAGCTTATCGTATCAAGTTTTTTGGGGGGCGGGGGGTCACTGGTTCCATTACATGTGTTGTTTTACAAAATTGGCTTTACCTGGACTACATTATTTTCTACACATTCATAATTATATATTTATGAATAAATTTATGCATTATTTATCTGTATGCGTACACAAACGGAGCAACATGATTATCAAGACTTATCCAACTTATTCATCAAGATTTGGCTGACATAATTTCATGAACTTAAATATGAGCTGCTATGATTTTTTCTGGAAAGGATAAATATTAATTAGTCTTGGAATTCTTTAGTTTTTTCAAAGAAGTTCGTTTGTTTAGCAGAGAATTACCATTAATTCTTGGGTAAATTACAGCAAATTACGAAAAAATCTCACCTATTTGGATAATTACAACCACCCCTCATCTTCTTACATGTCCACTCTTATTGTCTCAAATTTAACAAAATCTTCTAAATTCTGTGGAATGTTCTCCAGTTTGTACACGTTTTGTGCAAAAATGCAATTTTCGATGCACCACAATGTGATATTTGCAAGCCAAAAGTTACATCTTATGATCTTGTTTCAAAATGTGGAGCTCGAATGAGGTAAACCGGAGAATATTCCACATAATCTAGAAGATTTCACTAAATTTGACACCGCAATAATGGACTTGTAAGAAGATTCATAGTTGAAGGGGGTGGTTGTACTTAGCCAAACATGAGGTTTTTTTTATTCATAATCTGACATTACCTCAAGGAGTGGCTGTAATTCAGTTTAATACTTTGATCCTTGTCAACAAATTCCCATACACTCAATGTGAACATGTGTCAAAATAATTTCCCTTCACCTTCGTACTCTACTCTAGCTTCTCTCTGTTCAATCAAAAACACATTCTTGATTATTCCCTACATACTATCAGGGTGCATTTGGATGGAGGGATTTGGGGGAGGGATTTCAAATCCATAATAACAAATCCCTCGAACTTGTTTGGATTGAGGGATTTGGAGATGGATTTTAAATCCCCACCCCTCATTTTTAGTTGTTTTTGAAGCAATAGTGGTGGATTTCAAATGACTCCAAAATTGGAGTCATTTCAAATCCCTTCCCCAAATCAAATCCCTCCTCAAATCCTTCCATCCAAACGCACTCTCAGTGAATTGAGCACATCAATATTCATTTGATGCATTCCAATTGTGAATGGTTCTCCTTTTTGGAGCCGGTTTTGACATTACTTTAGCAAATTGGAGATATAAAAAAGGTTATACACTGGGCATAGAAAGAGTGATGCACTACTTCAAACAATTTCAGAGTAACAACATAAGGGACTATCTATACTCCGGTAAAAACAACTTGCTCTTCTTAGACGTAGAATTTTATTTAGCCAAGTTTCCCAAAACTGAGGTAGCCAAAGTATTTTTCTCTGTCTTTTTCTCATACTGCAACACATACTCCCACAAAGCTCTAGCTTCTAGTGAACCTTGTTGAAGATATTGACACTTTTGTCCTCCTCGAACTCATACATTTCCTACCACAACCAGTGTGTGATGTCGATATTCAAGTACGAAAAGTAAACTGGAGTAATGATGAGGATATCAGTGAGTGCTAATACATTTAGAGTTTATCGCCTATAAGAAGCAGCACCTAACACATTTGTTTCTTTATGGTTGGAATAAATAAAAATATTATAAGTAGTCGGTATTTTTTTCTCACTTGCTTTGAAGCGTGTTAAGTGTTTACAAGTGTCTAAGAGTCAGTCAAAGTATCAACATATTGGTCAATCTCCTACGTTGGAATTACCACTCAAAATTCGACTAAATTAATGAGTCATTTATGAGAAAGTTTGAAAGTCATTTGTCTAGAATTTCTTAGGCATTAAAGGGTCATTTCCTCTGTTATAAATATATGTAAGTGCCATTAGGCCAATCAATGAAGTTTATGAATAAAATTTCAGTTTTTAGTAAAGCAAATTGAGCATTTTCTTGTGAAATAAACTTAGGTATGAAGCCTTGGGTCTGAAGCCCGTGGAGTGATTTCAAAACCCTTTTCTTAGCTATTTCATATATTCTCCTTCCAACCTTCTATTCCCGCTCTATATGAACAACCCTATTAGAATTAACGCACTCACATTATAATTGATTTAAACCCTAAACTAGAAGAAACAAACAACATGCATTGATTCACTTGAGTTTTGAATTATCTAGGGGCATTCTACTAATCGGTACTTGATTCATGCTAAATTACCTATTCTAAAAATTCACCAAGTACATTTTGAGCATTGCAATCTCTTTAGTTTCATTGTCGAAATTATTTACCACGAAAGTCCACATAATGAGTATAGTGTTGCATCAATTTTGGTATCAGACCAAGCACAGATTGCTCAAGCTTTGTAGCCTTTGTCCAATCAACTTGCCCAGATTGAGAATAGAATGCAGGAGAAGCCAACAAACCGTGAGCACCACTTTGCACTACTAGAAGCCGCAGTCCAGAATGATGATGATGAGTGTGTTGTCGGAGGACCAAGGATGCAAGCTAGAAGAAATGTGCGCATGCCCACATAATCCACGAAACAATAGTGCTGATTGTGTTGATTTGGATGAAAGAGTGATAAAGTCAGTAAAAGTGGAGGCGTCTAGTTTTAATGGACAATTGAATCAAAGGGCTTTTCTTGATTGGCTACCTGATATGGGTGACTTCATTGCATAGTATGAAATGTCAAAAGCTCGCCAAGTCAGATTTGCTAAAATGATGGTGATGGGCAAGCCAAACTCTATTAGATCAGTGTCGAAAGACAAATAGAAAGAGCAAGAGAAGAGCCAATCACCTTATGGATTATAATGAAAGAAAGACTTCCAGAAAACCACGTTTTGTTATCCTATCGTCAACAATTGTTGGATAAATGGCAATCTCATCGACAAAGATGCTTGAACATTGTAGAATATGATAGAAGGAGAATATTTGGAGAGAAGAGAGAATAAAATTATCTCTCACGTATATTAATCATATATATAGTTACATGTAGGAAACCCTAATCCTAACTACACAAGGTAATCTATTATACAAGGTAACTAGAATAAATAGGAATAATAATAATATACGTAATATATATATAATATATACGCTAATACACCCCCGCAGTCGAAACGTGAAAGGAGAGGACGTGGAGACTGGAGACAAACTGTTGGAACAGTTGAGTAGGGAGTCCTTTCGTGAAGATATCGGCAAACTGGTAGGCGGATGGGACGTGAAGAACTCGAACGTGTCCCAAAGCAACTTTGTCTCGGACAAAGTGGATATCGATCTCCACATGTTTCGTACGAGAGTGTTGAATAGGATTGCTGGATAGGTAGACGGCATTGACGTTGTCACATTAGACAATAGTGGCTTTCGAAAGTGGGCAGAGCAACTCAGAGAGGAGGTTGCGTAACCAAGTCGTTTCAGCGACGGCATTTGCGACAGCTCGATATTCGGCCTCCGCACTCGATCGAGAAGTGGTGACCTGTCGTTTGGAGGACCAAGAGATGAGGTTGTTGCCGAGGAAAACACAATAGCCCGATGTCGAACGACGAGTGTCAGGGCAGCCACCCCAATCGGCGTCGGAGTAGGCGATAAGGGAGAGGTCCGGATTGGGGGAGAGCTGAAGGCCGTGATCGAGAGTCCCACGAATGTAGCGAAGGATACGCTTGAGAGCAGCCATATGAGGTTCCCTCGGATCATGCATGAATAGACATATTTGTTGCACAACATAGCAGATGTCAGGACGAGTAAACGTGAGGTATTGCAGTGCACCGGCAAGGCTGCGATAAAGAGTAGGGTCAGCAACGGGGGGTCCAAAGGTCGAAGACAACTTGCTCTTTGTGTCAGCCGGCGTAAGACAAGGGTTGCAGGAAGCCATGTGTGCACGCTCTAGTATCTCGTCGGCGTACTTGCGTTGAGAGAGAAACAACCCATTCGACGAGCGAGTGACTGAGATGCCGAGAAAGTAGTGAAGATCGCCAAGATCCTTCATTGCGAACTCTTGAGTAAGGGCAGCGATGATAGAGCGTAGCAATTCAGGTGTGGAGGCCGTGAGTACAATGTCATCGACATACAGCAGAAGGTAGGCGCATGAACTGTTGCGACAGTCGCGTGAACTGTTGTGACAGTCGCGAGAACTGTTGCGACAGTACACAAAGAGTGAAGTGTCGTACTTGCCTTCTCTGAACCCCATGCTAGTAATGTGAGATGCAAAACGCTTGTACCAAGCACGTGGTGCCTGGTTGAGACCGTAGAGTGCCTTGTTGAGACGACACACGTGAGTGGGGCGAGACGGATCGACGAATCCGGGAGGTTGCTCGCAGTAGACAGTTTCAGAGAGATTGCCATGTAAGAAGGCATTTTTCACGTCAAGTTGGTGGATTGGCCATGATCGCGAGAGAGCAATACTCAGAACTGTTCGAACAGTTGCTGGTTTGACCACCGGACTGAATGTTTCATCGAAATCAATGCCAGGGCGTTGATCAAAACCGCGAACAACCCATCGTGCTTTATACCGTTCCAATGAACCATCAGCCTTCAATTTCTGCTTATATAACCACTTGCCACTGATAACATTAGTAGAAGGGGGGCGGGGCACAATATCCCATGTGTTATTTTTAATCAAAGCAGTATATTCCTCAAGCATGGTCATACGCCAGTTTGGATCAAGGAGGGCACGGGGATATGTAGTGGGAGTTGGGGATGAGGTAGACACGGTAAGAGAAAAGGGGATTTTGGGCTTGTGAATACCGGCCTTGCTGCGTGTCAACATAGGATGGTTGGGTGGGGGTGAGAAAGCGGGAGGGGGAGGCTGTGGTTCTGCTGGGTGTGGAGATGTAGTCGGGTGGAGGGGCATGGGTGTAGTTGAGGGAGGACTGTCGGACGAACTGTTGGGACAGTTGGATGAGACAGTAGGTGGTTCTGTAGTGTGGTTGGACGAACAGTTGGGACAATTGTGTGAGACAGTGGGTTGGACTTGTGTAGGCTGAGGAAGGAAGAGAAGTGGGTGCAGGGGTTCGGTCATATTAGAGGTGGGGGAGTTGTGGGATGAGTCGGTGGATTCAGCAAATGGAAAACGGCTTTCATAAAAAATCACATGACGGGAGATAATGATTTGACCGGTTGACCGATCGAGGCAACGATAGC